CACCATTGCCCCAGGCCTGTAGTGAGTACTGCCTGGCTACTGCTGATTTTCACACAAGGCTCAAAGGCTCTGTAGTCAGCTTTGGTGAATGCTGCCAGTCCTAAGTCTCTCCCTTCATGGTAGTGGGTTCCCTTGTGGCTCAGGGCAGGTCCAGAAATCCCGTCTAAGAGCCAAGGCCTGGAACTGGGGATCCCAAGAGCCTGCTTGGTACGTTACCCTACTGTGGCCAAGCTTGTGCTCATGTTGCAAGACATGAAAAGTAATGCCAGTCTTCTTTACTCTTCTTTTTTTCTCAAGCAGAAGGGGTTTCTCCCTGTGGCCACCACAGCTGGGAATGTGCTAGATCACACACGAAGCTGCATGGCCCTGGGTGTTACCAAGCTCCATGGCAAGTACTACCTGGTTATCACTGATACTTCATCACCCAAAGACCCTTTAGTCAGTAGGTGATGAATCCCATCAGACTGAGTCCTTCCCTTCAAGGCATGGATTCCCGTCTGGCCCAGAGTGTATCTAAAATAATTGCCTGGGAGCCAGAACCTGGAGTGAGTAAGGGCCTCAGAATTCTTTCTGGTATCCTGTTCTGTGGCTCAGCTGGTGTCCCAGTTGCAAGACAAAGCTGTCTTTACTCTCTCCTTCCTCTCCTCAAGCAGAAGGAAGGAGTCACTTTCATTCTTACAGACTTCACTACTTGGGGTTGAGGTAGGCAGGGCCAAGCACTCCCATGGTGGCCACAGCTGGTATCTCAGGTCACGTGCCCCCCAGATGGACTGGTTCTGAGCCCAGCCCAGCACTAGGACTTGCCCAAGAATTGCAGATTATGTCATCTCAGTTGCTTTTCAGGTTTATTTGGGACCGCAAAGCACTTTAGTCCATGGTGGCAGGGCTTGCCAGAATATAGGTTCTCTTATAGGGCTGGTCTAAATGTTCTGTCAGTGAGTGCTGGCTAATTCTGCCCTGGGTTGGTTTCTGCTGTGACAGGACAGTACTGAATTCCAGTGCTAAGCACCCAGTCACTGTGCTTTTCGTCCCGCAAGTGCAAAGCTTGCGTGGCCTGTGTGTGACTGCTGCCGAGGGATGGGGAAGGAGTGGTGTAGCTGATTGAAGACTATCTTTCTTAGTTTCTTCAGTGCCTCTTTCCTTAATAGGAAGTTAAAACCAGGTACTGTGATCACTCACCTGATTTTTGGTTCTTAATGAAGGTGCTTTTTTGTGTAGATAGTTGTTTATTTTGGGATTCTGCAGGGGAGACAATCACTGGAGACTTGTAATTAGCCTTCTTGGTCCACTGCTAGCATTGAATTTTATCATTCATTCATCTATAATTTTATCATTCATTCATTTATTATTTTTGAGATAGGGTCTTGTTCTATTGCCCATACTGGAGTGCAGTGGCATAATCATTGCTCACTGCAGCCTTGACTTCCTGGGCTCAAATGGTCTTCTCTCAGCCTGTCTGGTATCTGGAACCACAGGCAGGCTACCATGCCTAGCCTGTTTTTTTTTATTTCATATATTCTTTTTTTCCTTCCTTTTTTTTTTTTTTTTTTTTTTTTTTAACATTTGAGAGGTTATTCTTAAGTTGCCTGGGCTGGTCTTTAACTCCTGAGCTAAGGTGATTCTTCTTCCTCAGCCTCCCAAAGTCCTGAGATTACAAGTGTGAGCCACCATACCTGGAATTCAAATATTAAAAAAAGAAGTCATACCAGTAGTTCATAAACCCTTCAGGATATAGAGGAGGAACACTTCCCAACTTCTTTTGTGAGGCCAGTAGTGAGACCATCATAAGAGAAAGCACAAGAAAACTATAGACCAGGAAGTATCCTTCATGAATATAGACACAAAAAATTTTAAAGATACTTTAACTTACTCAGCAACACTTACAAACTTTATATGCTATAACCTATTGGTGTTTATTATAAGAATGCAAATTTTTTTTTTTTTTTTTTTTTTTTTAAATTGTACTTTAGGTTCTGGGGTACACGTGCGGATCATGCAGGATTGTTGCATAGGTACATACATGGCAAGGTGGTTCGCTGCCTCCATCCCCCTGTAACCTATATCTGGCATTTCTCCCCATATTCTCTTTCCCCAACCTCTCCACCCACTGCTGTCCCTCCCCTTCCCCCTCCACCCATCATACCCCAGTGTGTGATGCTCCCCTCCCTATGTCCATGTGCTTTTCTATCTGGGAATCAGTCGTAGATACCATATTAATAGAATAAAGGACAAAAAACACATTATAATTTTAGTAGATGCAGGCAATCACTTGATAAACTACCATACCTATTCATGATAAAACTGACAAAGGCTGTCTATGAAAAACCAATAGCCAACAAAATACGTAATAGTGAAGGACTGCATGCTTCCTCCTGAGATTGTGAACAAGACCAGGGCGCCTGAAAAAAATAAACAAAGAGAAATAAAAGACGACCAAATTTTTTACTATTAAATTTATTTTCTTATTCTTTTTTGTTTGTTTGTTTTATAGGATTTTAATGTAACTTCTTTTCTTGTTCCTTTACACTGTGCATCTTATTCTTTTTTCCTTTCTAATGTTGTTTCCACTGATACTCTGTAATTACTTAATGGCTTTACAATATACACTTTTAAAAATGACAATACCAGTATTATTACATAGAATAGTGACATCTAGATGAAGTTTAAATTTTTCATTTTAGCTATAATTTTTTTAGAATATGCCATCTAAGGAGCTACAGTAAAATTTTGTGTTCTAAAATCATTTGATGTAGTTTTTTGTGGTTCTTACACCAATTAGTAATGCTAATTTAATTAATTTTCAAAGTTTAGAAATTTTGTTTTTTCTTGACTCTAGTTTCTTTTTGAGCATGTAAGATATTTACATGTCTAAAATCAAAGCTGTAATAAGCTGCATTGCAGAGGGTCTTTCTTCCATCTCTGGCCCTTCTCTCATTCTTCTTTTACCTCTTCACCTTCCTATCTCTTCCACCTGTGTCTTGTATAGATCATTCCCTATCAGCACATAGAGAGCCTCCTCATTCTTTTTTTATTAAAAATTAGTGTTTAATTCTTTGTTGCAAAGAAGTATTATAGTATTTTAAGGCAACCTTTTATCAGTGGACTTCTGGGTTCAATCTTCTGCTGTTAAACATAATGCCACAGGGAAGCCAGATGTGGTGGCTTATGCCTGTAATCCCAGTGCTCTGGGAGGCTGAGACAGGAAGATCACTTGAACCCAGGAATTTGAGACCAGCCTGGGCAACGTAGCAGAACCCCATTGTTACAAAAATATTTCTTAAAAATAGTAATAATGCCACAGTGAATAGCTGTTTATTTATATTGTCATGTATTTGTCCATATATCTTTGGGGTCGATTCCTAAATGCAGATGAAAAGGCAAGTGCATTTGTAATTTTGCCAGATATCTCTGTATTGCTTCTTTTGGCGCTGTATTATTTGAATTCCTCCCTTATTCGTAGTGTACTAGAGTATCTGTTTTACCACTGTCTGGCCAACATTGTGAAATATTTGGATTTTTTCCAATTTATAGGTGAGAAGGGGTCTGTCCCCTTGTTACTTTCTTTTATTATGAGTGAAGAAAATAAAATAAAATTTTTCTTTGTTATGAGTGAAGTCGGACATATTTTTATATATTTAATTTACATTTATTTTTTGCTAAACCAGCTATGGGCCCATTTATAAAATTAGGTCTTTGCTCTTTTTATTTTGCTTCTTTTTACCATCTTAGCTTTTTATGTAAGAGATGTTTTAATGTTTTAAGACTAGAACCTATGTGCATCTCTACTGTGCTTGCTATTGGAAAGCTCCTCTAGAGAAAATGAGGCTAGGATGGTGGCTGTGTTATTCCTTTCAGCTACTGTAGCAAAATAGCACAGAGTGGGTTCCCTATAAACAACAGAAATGCATTTCTCATGGTTCTGGAGGCTGGGAAGTCCAAGAATGAACTGCCAGTAGACATGGTGTCTAATGACAGCCCACTTCCTGATTCATAGGCAGCACCTTCTCTCTGAGTCATTCATGGTAGAAGGGGCATGGAATTCTCTAGGGCCTCTTTTTTTGAAATGGAGTTTGTCTCTTGTTGCCCACACTAGAGTGCCATGGTGTGATCTCAGCCTACTGCAACCTCTGCCTTCTGGATTCTAGCAATTCAAGCAATTCTCCTGCCTCAGCCTGCCAAGTAGCTGGGATTATGGGCATGAGCCACCGCGCCAAGCCTGTGGTGCCTCTTATATAAGGGTTCTGGTAACTTCCTAGCAGCCTTACCTCCTAATAAATCACATTGGGGGTCAGGAATTTGTGGAGTCATAAGCATTCAGTCCATTATAGTGCCTAGAAGAACCTTGCAAAGCCTGTGTGGCATCTAGTAGTGTCCTGCAGTCTTTTTATGACTGAGTTATCTTCTGAATCTAATATTTTTGCCCTGGTTATCTAACTTCATGGCATCAGGATTTTAATGGTTATTTAGTCTTAACCCTCTTATTTTTATAGATGAGGATACTCCATTCTTAATTTGTAGATTTATAGACAAAACTTTATAGACGATTATTCAAATATGTTATTTTTCAGGTGAGTGAATAAAGGACCAGATAGGTATATTCCTGTTTGGGAAATAGCAATGGTGGTTCATTGGTGGGGAGAAACTAGAATTTTAAAATCATAACTGCTGAGTTTTATGTCCTGTAAATGTGACCATTTTTAGGCTTGAGACTCTTCCAGAGACTTCCAGATGTTCTTTAAGCAAGACCAAACTTGAAAGTAAATGAAAATAATCTTATTTTCAGTGACCACATTTGATTTGAATATTTTGGGGAGTGAATAAAAGCAATATGGTTCATGTACAAATGTTTCTTGTATTTTGTGGATTTTACATATATGTAATCCTTAAAGTTAATTTTGTAATTTGTAATCATTATTGTTTATTTTGCCTCTTATGTAGTAGGCATTCAAAGTTCCTCTTCAAAGCAGGAACGTTCATGTAATTTTATCTTGTTTTCTTAGGGGTTCATGCGTTACACAAGTAGCCCTTCTGGAAAGTGTATACGAAATGTTCAGGAAGGACGACCCCCGCCTAAGTTTCACACGCCAGTCCTTTGTGGATCGTTCCCTTCTCACTCTGTTGTCTCACTGTAGCCTGGATGCTTTGAGGGAATTCTTCAGCAGAATTGTGGTGGATGCCATTGATGTATTGAAGTCCAGGTTTACAAAGGTATCATATGCCTTAATCAGTTAAAAATAGTGATAAGAAGTGAGCAGCCTACTTGACTTGTGTGCTTAGACACTGCTGTGTGCTCAGTCACATGGCCTCTGCTGCTTGAGGAGTGTGCCACATAACAGACTGCATGGCATCTGCATTTATTTCCTGTGGCTTCTGTAACAACTTAGGCAAATTTGGTGTTGAGAACAACAGAGATGTATTCTCTTATACTTCTGGCTGCTGGAGATCTGGAATCAGTTTCACTGGGATGACATCACAGTGTTGTCAGGGCGATGCTTGCTCTGGGAACTCAGGGAAGAGCTGTTCCTGGCCTCTTCCAGGTTCTGGGGGCTGCCAGCATTGCTTAGCTTGTGCTGTATCACTCTGGTGTCTTCCTCCCTGGTCACATTTTCATTTCCTGTCTATTTAATCTCCCTACACATCCTTCTTACGAGGTTGCCTGTGATCTTATTTAGGGTCTATCCACCTGAACAATCCAAAATAATCTCATCACAAGGCCCTTAACTAAATTTTGTCTATGAAGTCCCTTTTTTGCCGCATGAGGAGGTTGTATTCAAAAGATTCAGGGATGAGGGCATCTTTTGGATACCTTTCATAGGGCGATGGTGGGATGTATCATTCAGCCTACCTCGGAATCTTGTTGGGAAATCCTGTGAATACCCAGATGCCACATTGTTAAAGCAAACTTCAAAATAGCTGAGAATTTTGTGTCTTAATATGTTGGATTTTCACCTGCTGTTCCCATATCTTCAGTAAGATTTTCTGCAAACATTTTCTACCCTTGGCTCACTGTTTGGATGTCATGCATTATTTCCTGCTTCACCCAGTGTAACATATTAATGTTTCTATCTGTGTTCTAGACCCTGGATAATTGCACACTCTCTTACTGAAGTGATTTAGCATTTTTGACTGTTAAAATTCTGTCTAAAGGATATTAAGCATTAAATTTGATATGTTTAATAAGATCTATTTCATGCTTAATAAGACCAAATATAATTATTTGTTACCTTTTCTAAGCTGAATGAATCTACCTTTGATACTCAAATCACCAAGAAGATGGGCTATTATAAGATGCTAGATGTGATGTATTCTCGTCTTCCCAAAGATGATGTTCACGCTAAGGAATCTAAAATTAATCAAGCTTTCCATGGCTCCTGTATTACAGAAGGAAATGAACTTACAAAGACACTGATTAAGTAAGATTTTACTTAAGTTTGGATTCTATTGTATTTCTCAGTGCTTTGGGTAAATATATTTTTATGTGTGTGTATAATGTGGATAAATATTTTATTTAGATACTGAGCTTTTATAGTTTTCTTATCTATAAACTACTTAGGTGAACTTTAGCTTAGGGTATTATTGAATAACAGTTGTTTTATCTTGCACTAATCTTTTACAAAGAATAAAACTTTTTCTTTTACTGTTTCTTTCCCTGCTATATTTCCCCTTGAATAGCTTGATGTATTTTTGGTGATTTTCAGTAAGAAAAGATGTAGAATATATATATATATATATATATATATATATATATATATATTTTTTTTTTTTTTTTTTATGTGAAATTAAAGGAATAGTAAACGTTTTTTTAACAGGCATTCTAAAAAACACAAAAGTAATCAAATGTATTTTCTCTAAAACTTGCTTTTAATGAAGTTTTCCTCGTAGTATATATTGAACACAGACTTTGCTGTGTCTCATCTCCAAACAAACTCATTATTACCCTCCTCTTACCTAGTGCTATCTTACCTTGTCAGTGAGTGACATCAGTCATGACTAGGCTGTTATCCGTACTCCTTGCTTCCTTATCTCTTTACTTACTGCACTTGATGCTGTTACCTCACTGACCACTGTGTGTTGAGATCCATGTATGTACAGTATGCTGTCCTTGCTATGAGATGGGTGACATGCTCCTTTTCATATTCTCAGTGCCCAGTACTCTGCCTGGCACAAGCTTGATAAGAAAGGCTGAACAGCATTAGGTCCTGTTATCTGGCATTGTTGGGATGGAGCAGTGATTGCCATGTTGTGGTGAATTGATTTGTCACCTGGATCTACTCTGCAGATTGTGCTATGACGCATTTACAGAGAACATGGCCGGAGAGAATCAGCTGCTGGAGAGGAGAAGACTTTACCATTGTGCAGCATACAACTGCGCCATATCTGTCATCTGCTGCGTCTTCAATGAGTTAAAATTTTACCAAGGGTTTCTGTTTAGTGAAAAACCAGAAAAGGTAGGCCTCTTCTAAGGTGTGCACTATTGTAGAGTTCAAAAGTTAGATTACATCAGTTAAAGTTATATCATAATTTGCACCATCTTATGTTGAAGATGTGATTCTTTTAGTTCTTCATAGTTACATTTAAAGCTGGAGTGCTTTTCCATGAACTATTAAATAGCATTAATTCTAAAGTAACATCAGTTGTGAGGATCTTCACCATTCAGATATTTTTACATTCTTCTTTGTATCCACAGAACTTGCTTATTTTTGAAAATCTGATAGACCTGAAGCACCGCTACAATTTTCCTGTCGAAGTTGAGGTGAGTGAAATTTTCAGTGTTCTAGGTTAAAAAAAGCTTTGTCAAGTGCTCACAAAGAAAAACATACTATGTCAAACATGTTAAATTGCCAATATTTGAGTCAGCTTTTAACAAACACTGGTGGTTTCAGGTAGTTTCTACAAAAATTGGCAATTTTAGCGGGAGGTACAATCTTAGGCAACTACAAAATTTGTCAGAACTTGACTTTTTCATCTCCTGACATGGGAAGGAATGACAGTCCCAGGAAAAGGAACTGTTAGGACGTATCCCAGAAGTTTTTCTTAGTGAATTACTGCAACCAAAGAAGTTGAGATCGTTACTGTGGTCTTGCTTGGGCAACATGGTAGGATCACAGGAAAGTCATGGGTTAACTGGAATGCTCTGGCAGATAGGACAAGGCTTGTTTTAGCCAAGCTCAGATTGACATGCCATCCTCAGCAATTGGGCAGTTGATGAGAATGTTGTGGTTGCTGCCTTCACCACCCATTGGAAATGGGAAGGTGGGCAGAGAGCCGAGCTCATCCACCATGGCCTGTACTTTGACCACAACTGCTGACCTCTACCATGTCTTAGTGCTTCATTACTACATGTGAGTGGTGACTTCCTGCCTTGTACACTTTCGGAACAAGACTAGGATTGTTTTCTAGCCATATGTTAAAAGAAACAAAGTTAGCCAGTTTATTAAGTGTGTAGATACTTGCTATATGTTACAACGATATAAGGTACTATGATATATCATAACTGTAGATTTGAAGAAATCGAGGGTCAGAGATAAATTTGTAAGCAGTCAGGTATAAGAGCCTAGTACACACTGTCCAGTGAGCTATACCATAGCTGAGATGGAGGGCAAGTACCTGGCTGAGTTCTTTGGGAGTCTACAGGAAGGGCTTTTCTTAGGGGACGCTTAGTGGTCTTATTTTGAGGTTATTTTTGAGTGCTTTTTAATTTGTTTTGTTTTACATTTTTTTGTTTTGTTTAAAAATTTATAATCTTTTTTTGCCAGATTGCTACTAAAACATAAAAAGTATGACTGATTATAAAATGTTGTGCATTGTTTATTTGTGCTGCCTAACAGATTCCTATGGAGAGAAGGAAAAAGTACATTGAAATTAGAAAAGAAGCCAGAGGAGCAGCAAGTGGGGATTCAGGTAGGGTGTTTTCAGAATCATGAGAAACGATTCAAATTGATGGGTGCTTTTGTTGTTTTGTTTTGTTTTGCTCTAAGACAAATAGAGGAGTGAGGTATTTTTTATGTAAATAGAAAATAAGTACTCTAAAACATTGAAATTGAGTTTGAAAAATATTTTAAGTGGCAAATTGAATTATATTAAAAGAAATGTACTTAGCTAAACTTAACTGCATAAAAAGATCTCAGAGTGACCAGATGGGCTCAGATATGTTACACTTTTTTAAAAGTACAAAATTAGTTTGGTGTCTTATTGTTTGCACATAGATTTTATTTGTATGTTATTAGGATATATTCAGAAACGTATATTAGAATACAAATCCTTTCTAGCCACTCTTCTGTTCCCAACCTCACAGTGGCTTCCCATCTCCCTCAGGACAGAGCTGCCCACAGCCCCTCACCTGCCAGCCCCCTCCCCTGGTGCCCTCCTTCCTGTTCACTCTGGCAGATGGCCCCTGCCTGTGCCTTGTGGGTGCCAGGCTTGCTTTTGCTCCAGGTCATTTCCGCTTGCTGTTTCCTCTAATACCCTCAACCCAGCTATCAGCATACCTCATGACGTTTTGTTTAATGTCAACCCCTGAAGTAGACTCTTCCTGGCCTCTCTATTTAAAATTAACCCTCTATCCCTCTGTATTCTTCTTGTTTTTCGCTTAATTTTTCTTCATAGCTTTTATCACCATTTCTTGACATAAGAATAAAATTTGGACTAGTTTTCTGAATTCCTTAGATACTTTGGATCAGTTACTTTTCAGTAATATTTCTTCCCACATTTATGTTAGATTTAATGGGCAAAATGCACACCATCAAAGTTTTAAATGCAAAGAAAATTTGTTAATCATATGCCAAATTGGATCGGTATAACAATTTCCTTGTCTGTGACAATAACTGCTTGATAACAACAAAAACAAAATGAAATCTCTTCCCCATTTCCTTTCTGCTTTGTTAATCTGGATAATGGGTTAATAATCACAGGGTTGATGAAAACCTTAGATTAAAATGCCCTTGAATTTTAATATCATTTGAGCTTAGAGAAGTACATTTCTTGCTGATTATGTTTGAATACATGTAATTTTCTCCTTATTTATATTTCAGATGGTCCTTACTATATGTCTTCTCTGTCATATTTGGCAGACAGTACCCTGAGTGAGGAAATGAGTCAATTTGATTTCTCAACCGGAGTTCAGAGCTATTCATATAGCTCCCAAGACTCTAGACCTACCATTGGTCGTTTTCGGAGACGGATGATCACATTTCACGTACTGAAAGAATATTGTTGATGTTTGTGAAGAAAGAGGGTCACAGCTGTGCCTTACTTTTACTACAGGAAGCCAGTTCCCTGTCCATTGTCAGCCCTCAGAGTACAGAGTTAATCTGGAGAATTTTCCATAATCTAATTCCTAGCCTTTTATTCTGTAGATTCAACAGTTAGATCATCAGCACAGAAGGAAGTCAGAGATCAGGGGTCAACCTAGCAAAGTTGCTCTGACCTGAGGTGCACCCCTGGGGAGTGACTGTACAGACAGGTCAGGATCAACATAGCAGAGACATCTGACCTGAGGAGCCATCCTGGGGAGTGACCATAGATGGGGGCCAGAAGTCAGTTTAGCAGAGACATCTGACCCAGGAGCCACCCTGTGGAGTAACTCGGCAGACGGGGCAAGGGGACTATGTACCTGGGATGTAAGGAAGACATGAAATCCTTTCTATGTATTAATTGTATAGTGAATGTATTTGATATTACTACCAAATTATCATTATTACCTAAGTGTTATATGCTGTTGCCCCAGAAAGAGCCTCCCACTTCCACTGCCACGTCCACTGAATGTTAACCGTACTTTCTGCCCTTCTGGGCCCTCCTTTTCACAGGAGCAGCAGGACCCTGCAGTGCATGCTGATGTGCTGGAGCTGGAAATGGACGAGCTCAATCGGCACGAGTGCATGGCGCCCCTGACTGCCCTGGTGAAGCACATGCACAGAAGCGTGGGCCCACCTCCAGGAGAAGAGGTGCTGTTTATGCTATTCATTGGCATCATATTGAGAACGAACTTTTAATATTGAAGACCAAACCAAACTGCTTATCAAATATACGTGATTTTTTGTTTTTCATGTCTTACTTTGTCATTGTTTTCTCATAATATCAAAATGTAAGATTATTTCATTTCACTTTTTAAGGTAATTTTGAGTGTTTTATTTCAGGAGTCGGTGCTAAGGGATCTTCCTCCTTGGATGAAATTTCTCCATGGCAAACTGGGAAATCCAATAGTTCCATTAAATATCCGTCTCTTCTTAGCCAAGCTTATTGTTAATACAGAAGAGGTACGTAATCGATTATTTTATTGTTTGAAGAGATTCTATAAGTCTGCTTATTCAATTCTGTGAATGAATCAGTTTCAATTCTATGAATCTACTTAAAAACATACAACAAAAGGGAACTATAAAGGGACAAAGCATGACATTTTTGTTATCTGCTTAGCTATCCGATATTTATCTACTTGTTCATCACCATTCTTTCATCATTTTTAACACATGTAAATTCACCTCTCTTGAGTTAGAAGTGGTCTTTGTATAAAATAGCAGCTTTCTTATGGCTGCCAATATCCTTTGCTTATAGTAGCAAAAAAAAAAAAAAAAAAAGGGTGAGGGAGAAAATATTCCTGTTAACTCTATCAGAAAAACAGCTAACTCTTAGGCATTTGCTGAGTTTGTCTGGCTGGAGCATTTTTGGGTCGATTTTGGAAAAGCCTTTGAACTAGACATGGTGAAGTGCAGTGAGAGTTTGTACTCAGCAGGGTAGGAGCAGTGTAGCAGGGGTGGCCCCTGGGTGAGCTGAGCAGATCTGCACTGACCGCACAGGCTGTGGGAGTGTGGTCTGGACCAGAGCCAGGCCAGGCCCTCCAGGGCTATGCAGAGGCTTGGGCTCATTGATTGAGCAGTAGGGAACAACTGAAGGGCTCTAAGTGGCACTCTGACACCATCCACTTGGCTCCATAGGAAGCCATTCTGGGCAGCTCTGCAGACATGGCTAGGCTGTCAGGAGGCCCCTGACAGGCTGCTCCAGGGATACAGCAGGGCCTGCTTTCCTCAGGGCTAACTTGATTCTTTTCATGCCCTGGGTATGTGATCCCAGGGTGCCATACTGGGGGGCGGGGGGACTCAGCTGTGGCCTGAGATCAAGCTGCTGGTAAGGTGGTTCCTTCGAGGGCTGAGAGAGAGAGTCTGGTCCAGGCTGCTCCCAGGTCTGGCTGCCTCGAGCACCGTGTGGTGTGTCAGAGGCATTCTTCCTGTGTCTTCACCGTGTCTTCCTCCTTGGATCTGTCTCTGTGTCCTAATTTTCTCTTTTTAATAAGGATACCAGTCGTATTGGATTAGGGCCCACGCAGATGACTTCACTTTAACATGCTTACCTCCATTTTGAATTTAGGTTCAGTCATAGTATAAAATTTTAGCTGATGGAAGATACAGTCTTGTTTTAATATTTTGGCTACTCAGGACCATTCTTTGATGTTTGACTTTTAAATGTTCTTGTAGGTCTTTCGCCCTTATGCGAAGCACTGGCTTAGCCCCTTGCTGCAGCTGGCTGTTTCTGAAAACAATGGAGGAGAAGGAATTCACTACATGGTGGTTGAGATAGTGGCCACCGTTCTTTCATGGACAGGCTTGGCCACTCCAACAGTAAGCACTGATGCATCTTTTATGTTAATATGTTATCCTTTGCCAATATCCTGTAGAGCCCCTGACACAATCTTCAGGTCCCTGTGACTGACTTGTGCTACGGTTTTCAGCGTTAGTTCCTACGTTGCTGGTGTGCTCCTAAACCAAATGGCCTCAGCCTGCTTTGGTTTTGTTTTGTTTTCTTTGTCTATGGTATTTCCTCTGACCTTGCTTTTATTATGAAGCTGTCAGGTGTTTGTTTTATTTGCTGCCTTTACTTGCCTTGGAAATTAGATTGCAGATTTGTTAAAACTGTGTGTAAACTGAATGTCAGCCAACCCTGAATGGGAGGCTCTGAAGACTTCTGCCCTGACTGAAGTCCCTGGATATTGGCATTTGTGCCAGCTTCTTTACCCTCAGAGTATTGCCTCATATCAGTAATGGCAAAATGAGGGCTAAAGCAGCAGCTGCCAGATGATAACACCATGTTATATTGAAGCAAATGTGGTACCCACCAATGCAGACGTGTGTGTTGGAGCTTTGCCTATTCCTCTGAAACTGTGGACACTGACAGCATACAAAAGTTTTCTTGTGAGGAGATGGTAGGAACAGTCCATATTAAATATAGTGGACAAACTTGGGCCTGTAATCACAGCACTTCTGGAGGCTGAGGCGGGCAGATGACTTGAGGTCAGGAGTTTGAGACCAGCCTGGCTAGCGTGGTAAAACCCAATGTCTACTTTAAAAAGAAAATTCTGTGAAGTGGAAGCAGAAAAAAAAAAAATTAGCTGGTTGTGGTGGTGTACGCCTATAATCCTAGCTACTCGGGAGGCTGAGGCAGGAGAATTGCTTAAACTCAGGAGGCTGAGGTTGCAGTAAGCAGAGATCGTGCCATTGTACTCCAGCCTGAGTAACAGAGTGAGACTCCATCCCCACCTTGCCCCCCAAAAAAGTACATGGAGCTTTCTCATGCGCCTATCTCATTTTTTTCACAGTAAACCAAATTTACATTTCTTAGTCTTAGTGTGATGAAATACTTTGGTAGTCTGCTTAATAAAATGAAAAAATAAGGGATTTAGTTTAACTTAGGATCCGTTGGGAGAGATTGATGTAGCTGTCAGAACTCAGCTGAACTCAAGAGAGTGAAACTGCTGGGCTCAGGGTGGCTGATTACAGCAACAGCAAGCCAGAAAGAAGGTTGCAGTGAAGACTTGGCTCACTCTAGAGTCATGGAAGTGAGAGGCTAACACTGGAGGGAGACTCCCCCTGTTCTGTTTCTCCCTAGAGGGAGAAACAGCCAGGTGGATTAGCACAGACACGGACTGTCTCACTGTTGAGGTACCCTGAACAAGAGGCTCTGCAGTTTTATGGGGGAAGAGCTGAGTCAGAAAGCACTGACTGGGTACTGAGTCAGAGTGGGGAAAGTACCTTTATGCCACTCCTGTGCCCTGGAAGTAGCCCCTGTTCAGGGCCTCACATAAAGGGTCCTAGGCATGGAGGCTCCAGGGAGGGATGCAGAGGTACTTGCACGGGGGATGGCGGCTGGCATCGTGCACCCTGGATGACATCTCTGAGACTGCAGCGCTGGCAGTGCCCGGTCCCCTTTGTTGTTGCCTTTTTCTGAGAAATCACAGACAGGGCGTTGAAAAGGAGCCGGATTCCTCTGTAAAATGCCAGATTTCTTTTATAAATAAACTTGAGTTAAGAAATGCCTCCCCAGGCTCACGTCTGTAATCGCAGCACTTTGAGAGGCCGAGGTGAGTGGATCACGAGGTCAGGAGTTCAAGATCAGACTGGCCAACCTGGTGAAACCCTGTCTCTAGTAAAAACTACAAAAATTAGCTGGGCATGGTGGCTCATGCCTGTAATCCCAGCTACTTGGGAGGCTGAGGTAGGAGAATTGCTTGATGTGGGACCCAGGAGGCGGAGGTTGCAGTGAGCTGAGATCGTGCCACTGCACACCAGCCTGGGCTACAGAGCAAGACCCCACCTCAAAAAAAAAAAAAAAAAATGGAATGCCACATGTTAATATAGAATTTCTGTACCTTTTCAGGGGGTCCCCAAAGATGAAGTGTTAGCAAATCGATTGCTTAATTTCCTAATGAAACATGTTTTTCATCCAAAAAGAGCTGTGTATAGACACAACCTTGAAATTATAAAGACCCTTGTCGAGTGCTGGAAGGATTGCTTATCCATCCCTTATAGGTATGTTTGCTGGTTTTTGCAGTATTGTTTAGAAATTTGAGTTAAAACATAGTGTGTGGTAAATGGTTATTACAGTGAAATTTAATTACATGAAATGATAGGAGGAAGAAAATAATTTATTGCTACTACTAATAAATACCACAGCCTCCAGAGTGTGGCACCAGGCGTGTGTCTCATGCTCTCCAGTGGCCCTGCCTTCCCCCTTAGCTTACCTCTACTGTCCACACGCTGGGGAGGGGCACTACCCTGCACTGGCCCACAGGGTAGAGGGAGGTAGGGGGTCAGGTAGGATTGTGAGTAATTCCTTTTAGTGTAGCCTGAGGCAAGCTACAACTCTCAAAAAGTTTTGCTATCAACTAAGGGAGAATTTAGGCAAATAATTAAAATACGAGAGCAATAAAATTGCCAATGTTACAAAGCTGGAGTAACCTGTGAACAGGGGGTTGTTAGCAAGCAGGGGTATTGGATATGGGACAAGAAAAGAAAGCATTTCTATAAAGTCAAAGCTAGACCTGGGGAGGCAACAGAAATAAAGAAAAAGCATTTCTTACCCTGAATATTAGCTTTAGAAAATTCTTAATCTGTCCAAAAATTAACCGGGCATGAAAGCTCACACCTGTAATCCCAGCTATTAGGGAGGCTGAGTGAAGCAGGAGAATTGCTTGAACCCAGTGGGTGAAGGTTGCAGTGAGTTGAGATTGTGCCACTGCACTCCAGCCTGGGTGACAGAGCAAGACTGTCTCAAAAAAAAAAAAAAAAAAAAATTCTCTATTTGTCTTCCTGCTTCTTATTTGATTATGTAACAGTCTCAATTTTCTTTTTTGTGCTTATGTTTCAGGTTAATATTTGAAAAGTTTTCCGGTAAAGATCCTAATTCTAAAGACAACTCAGTAGGGATTCAATTGCTAGGCATCGTGATGGCCAACGACCTGCCTCCCTATGACCCACAGTGTGGCATCCAGAGTAGCGAGTATGTGTTTGCTTGATCACTTTTAGGTCACATTTACCCCAGCTGGATTGACAGACTGCAGTATAGTTCAGTGTTGATAAATTTAAGGACAGACCCGTGTTACAGATGTTTCTGGGCCAGGCACTGTGGCTCACGCCTGTTATTCTAACACATTGAATAGCCAAGGTGGGAGGATTGCTTGAGTCCAGGAGTTCGAGACCACCCTGGACAGCATAGCAAGACCCCATGTGTACAAAAAAAATTTTTTTTGCCGCCTAAATTTAGGAAGTTGGATTTAGATTTTTTTGGAAGAAAAAATATGTTTGGAGTAAATGAGAAATGTAGGTGTTTAAAATTAGTGTAATTTTTTCATGTACATGCTGGCAGATGAGAGGTGTTAAGTATGTCTTATATCTAAACTGATATCTGAACATTTACCCCTGAAAGTAACGTAGGTTCCCCAGGAGGCTTTGTTCTGGGCTCTCTGACCATGAGGGTTGGTGGACACTGGGCTGCACCGTCCCGCCTGGGAGCTAGGGCAGCTGGGCACAAAATGCCAAGGCAAGAGGCCATCAGAAAGATGGTTTCCAGACATCACAAAAGGTTATTTCTTCGTCCTGCTCCTAATGGTTGTGAAGTCAGTCTTGAGTCCTGGCTATTCCCTGGCTTTCCATCTGCCCTATCTGAGCCTCCTATCCCTGTGGGGGTTTCACTTTCTCTGTTTGGTCCTCTGTGTTGGCCCCCCAGCACTATCATTACCATTTACCTGTGCAAGAGACGATGCGTGACCTCAGGACTGAGACAGCCAGTATTGCAGCAGCCTTCGTGGGAACTCGGCTCCTTTTAGACAGTCACTGGCTGGAGCTTTGGCTTCTACACCAGGACAACCTTGCAAAGTTCCCTGAGTGCTGACAGTGGATGCATGGCTCCCTGGGAAGCCTCCTCGCATAGCATGGCACTGGGAGTATGGTCCTGCTCTTTCTCATTTTATTGTCCTTGTCCTGGTATAGTAGGTGGCTTTTGAAAGTGAGTCAGTGCCCCGTGATCTTGGATGGTAGCTCTTACTTTTCACTGTAGCTTTCTGTCTGTCCAGCCTTGTGGGTGGGTCCAGCTGCAGTGGTTCTGCATGATGGAACAGCAGACTGCCCTACGCCTTTCTGGTTGTGACATTAGTGCCCTCACATCCATGCTTATGTGTGCATTTGTACACAGAATTTGCATCATATTCTATATTTAGATTTTCTCAACGCTGTCAGTACGACGTGAGAAGGAAAATTGTCATTTATATTTGTGGAACAACAGAATGGATTATTTGATGCATATGTCTTTTCATTATTTGTTGTAGATACTTTCAAGCTTTGGTGAATAATATGTCCTTTGTAAAATATAAAGAAGTGTATGCTGCTGCAGCAGAAGTTCTAGGACTTATACTTCGATATGTTATGGAGAGAAAAAATGTGAGTGTGCTATGCAGTTTTCAATAAATACCTCTTACTCTATTTTGATTTGTTATCACCCTTGATACTTATATATATATTTCCTGTATGGTATTAGAAACAAAATGGGCCTCTGCATTTATTAACATTTTACTGTTTATTACTATGATGTTATTTTTTTTTAAACACCTTGGACACTTGGTGAACATTGAGAGATCAGCAACTAACTTTGTAATGTAAAATCAGGATGAGAGTAGTTAACCAGCTTTTATTACTGTGAACTTGTTTCTAAGGAGTTCCTTGTGGAGGAAATTGTCCTGGTAGATAGGTGCTGTGGTGAGCGCTGAATTCTCTCAGTCTAGTCCTCCACTTGTAATTTTTGGTGTAGCTATTGAACAGGAGCACGGACTTCCCAGGAGATCTCTCAGTACTGCTGCCTTGCCCACTGGACGGGACTGTGAGACAGCCTAACTGAACGTTTAAGTGAAGTGCATGTTCAGATCAGAAGACCGAATGAAGAAGTCACATATTCTTTATTTTTTTTATTTTATTTATTTTTTTTTTTTTGAGACGGAGTTTCGCTCTTGTTACCCAGGCTGGAGTGCAATGGCGCGATCTCGGCTCACCGCAACCTCCGCCTCCTGGGTTCAGGCAATTCTCCTGCCTCAGCCTCCTGAGTAGCTGGGATTACAGGCATGCGCCACCATGCCCAGCTAATTTTTTGTATTTTTAGTAGAGACGGGGTTTCACCATGTTGACCAGGATGGTCTCGATCTCTTGACCTCGTGATCCACCCGCCTCGGCCTCCCAAAGTGCTGGGATTACAGGCTTGAGCCACCGCGCCCGGCCACATATTCTTTATTTTAAATTTTTTTTAGAGCTGGGGGTCTTGCTCTGTCACCTGGGCTGGAGTGCAGTGGTGTGATCATGGCAGCCTCACACTCCTGGGCTCAAGCCATCCTCCCACCTCAGCCTCCTGTGTAGCTGGGACTATAGGCATATACCACCATGCTTGGCTAATTTTTTGAAGTTTTGTAGAAACAAGGTTTCACCGTGTTGCCCAAGCAGGGTTGTGGGTTTCGGGGTCTTCAATGCTGGCGTAATCACTAGGATAAGGTACTGTGTGGGACACTGGGGATCTTGCTGCTGCAGAGCCTGTCTGGGTGGCCTAGCTGGTCACACCCCGAGGACACTCTTGGCTCCCTTCGTCCTCTTGTAGCAGCCTCTCCTCCCTTTCCTCAGCTGCATTTCCCTGACCACCTTCACAGCTCTGGTTTGGCCTCACTCGCTGCTCCCCTGCCCACCTCATCCAGCTTCACAGCTTTACAGACTGCTTTTTTGTTGGTGATTCTCAAGTTTGTACCCCCAGCTCAGTTACTCTCCTAAAAGAAAGGACAGAGTACATTCCAGGCCCCAGTCACTGTTGGGCTGGGTGAGAAGAGGCTCAGGAGAAGCTGGGTGGTCCTGAGCAGGCACCAGTGGGCCCAGCACTGTGATTGGACCATTGTCCATGTCACCAAGTATGGACTTGTTTGGATTTAAAATAAAATTAAGCTGCAAGGAAATAGACCACTTTGGGAAGATCAAACACTACTTTCAATTTATTTTAGGGATTATCAGCTATTTTTGTAAATAAATTTTTAAAATTTAGTAGAACCTTTTTACAAGATGATTCGAACATCCCTAAATATGAGATTTAAATCTATGCAATATGCTTCATTTCCACCATAAATGGAGTAAGTTACAGCAGATCCCGAGGTTTAATCTCTCATGACTTAAATTTCAACTTAAGAATAAGAAACACTTTGTTTTATATATTTTTTTCTAAATATGAAAGTGATGAAGACTTATCGTAGAACTTTGGAAAGCAGAGTAAACATAAAGAAGTTAGTAAGAAACCAGGCACTGTGGCTCCTGCCTAAAATCCCGGCACTTTGGGAGGCCAAGGCAGGTGGATCACTTGAGGTCAAGAGTTCGAGACCAGCCTGGCCAACATGGTGAAATCCTGTCTCCATAAAAAAAATACAAAAATTGGTCAAGTGCTGTGGATCACACCTGCAATCCCAGCACTTTGGGAGGCCGAGGCAGGCGGATCATGAGGTCAAGAGTTCGAGACCAGCCTGGCCAACATGGTGAAATCCTGTCTTCACAAAGAATACAAAAATTGGTCAAGTGCTGTGGCTCGCACCTGTAATCCCAGTACTTTGGGAGGCCGAGGCAGGTAGATCACCTGAAGTCAGGAGTTCGAGACCAGCCTGGCCAACATGGTGAAACCCCATCTCTACTAAAAATACAAAAGTTAGCTGGGCATGGTGGCAGGCACATGTAATCCCAGCTATTCAGGAGGCTGAGGCGGGAGAATCCCTTGAACCCGGGAGGTGGAGGTTGCAGTGAGCCGAGATCATGCCATTGCACTGCAGCATGGGCAACAGAGTGAGACTCCACTCAAAAAATGTAAAATAAAAAGAATTCAGTAAGATAGGCTCACACTCTTCCTACACAACAGTTGTCAGTACCTGGGGCACACAGCTCCACTGTCTTTGGTCTCTCTTATTCACACTGTTTTACAACTTGCTTTCTTTACTTGCTAGATTGTGACCATTTCATTGTGTTGTGGTATTAAATACTTTTAATAAAAAGAATCGGTAGTACAATACTACCTACCTCGGTAGTGCAGTACTAACTACCGTATTCTATGTGGGGTTCAGGCCATTGAAATATTTGTGGTTTTGTATTAAGGATTGTTCTTAAACATAATTTAAAAATAATCTCATACTATTTTGGAAAAGTATCTCTTTTCCAAAATGCTTGGGACCAGGATTGTTTCCAGTTTCTGGTTTTGCACTATTTGCATTGTAGTTCCTGTTTGAACATCCCTAATTCGATAATCCAAAATTCACATCCTCCAGTGAACGTTTTGTTGCTGAGGCTCAAAATGTTTCACATTTTGGAGGCTTCTAGGTTTTCAGATTTGGGCTGCTCAGTCTGTGGTGAGTTTGCTTTGAAAAACTGTTCAGTCTTCGTATCTTTGAAAGGGTTTCCTGTGCCCCCTTCTGATGTTTGTGAGCAACCAGGTGAGCCATGAAGGACAGCAGTGTTTTCTGTTGCTTCCTTCCAGTAGAAGCTGCCGAGTGCTTCTCTGTGTGGCGCACATTTGAGGGCATTCTGGTTCTAGGTTCTAGGGATGCGGTAGGGAACAGCATAGGTCACGTCCCTGCCCTTCGGGAGCCGGCATTTGGGGAGAGGAAACAGATGGTATACAGACGAATATATAACAGTAGGTAGCAACACTTGGTGAACAGAGGTGGGGTGTGAGCAGTGATGAGGACTGCTATGTGAATAGAATTGTTTGAAAATTCTAGTCCATGTGAATATTTTTCATCAGAAACCTGAACATCATAAAATAAGTCTCAAACAATATTTAGCTTAGCTTGTTGTAGGTGATAACATTGAACACCTTCCTTGGGCTCACTTAAATACTCAAGATAAACCTTACTTAGCTGCTTAACCTACGTTTCCACTTTTGTGTATTTGAAAATAAACTTAATTTTTCAGATACTGGAGGAGTCTCTGTGTGAACTAGTTGCGAAACAATTGAAACAACATCAGAATACTATGGAGGACAAGTTTATTGTGTGCTTGAACAAAGTGACCAAGAGCTTCCCTCCTCTTGCAGACAGGTATGGGCTGTCCAGGGAGCCTCTTGGGGCAGGAGGGTCCTTGGCCCTCCTCTCACCAGTCCTCTTGCTCCCCAGGTTCATGAATGCTGTGTTCTTTCTGCTACCAAAATTTCATGGAGTGTTGAAAACACTCTGTCTGGAGGTGGTACTTTGTCGTGTGGAGGCAATGACAGAGCTGTACTTCCAGTTAAAGAGCAAGGACTTCGTTCAAATCATGAGACATAGGTGAGTGAACACTAGCCCTGCTCTCGGGTCCCATTGGCTCATAAAGTGTGTTTTTTTTGTTGTTGTTTTGTTTTTCTAAAAAAAAAAAGAAAGAAAGAAAAAGAAAAAAAAATAAATAAATAAATAAAAGAATGAAGGAGAGAAAGAAAGAGAAGGAGGAAGAGGGAGAGAGAACGGGGGTGTTGCTTTATTGCCTGGGCTAGAATGCAGTCTAAAATGGATATGCCTATAATTGTGCTTAATAATAGAGACATGAAAAAAAAAAATGAGGGAAGAAAATAACAAACAAGCAGCCAACCAATATTTCATTTAAACCTGTAAATAGGTGTGATGTGGTACTGATAAGAGTGTATATTCTGTGTATTTAAAGTGGAGAGTTCTATAAATGTTAATTAAGTTTACTTGTTCCGGATCTGAGTTCAAATCCTGGATATCGTTGTTAATTTTCTATCTCATTGATCTGTCTAATATTGATGTTGAAGTCTCCCACTATTATTGTATGGGAGTCTAAGTCTCTTTATGAGTCTTATTTATCTAGGTATTCCTGTATTGGGTGCGTATATATTTAGGATCTTTAGCTCTTCTTGTTGCATTGATCCTTTTATCATTATGTAATATTCTTCTTTGCTTCTTTTGATCTTTGTTGCTTTAAAGCAACTCCTGCTTTTTATTTGTTTGTTTATTTTTGCTCTCCATTTGGTTGGTAAATCTTTCTCCATCTCTTTGTTTTGATTCTTTGTGTATCCTTGCATGTGAGATGGGTCTGGATGCAGCCTACCGGTGGGTTTTGGCTTTTTTTGCCTGTCTGTGTCTTTGGATTGGGGGATTTAGTCGATTTAAATTTAGGATTAATAATAATATATGTGAGTTTAATACTGCCATTTAATGTTACCTGGCTGTTTTGCCCATTAGTTGATATAAATTCTTGATTATGTTGATGCTCTTTACTTTTTGATATTTTTTAGAAAGGCTGATACTGGTTGTTCCTTTCTATGTGTAGTGTTCTTTCAGAAGCTCTTGTAAAGCAGGCCTGGTGGTGATGAAATCTCTGAGTGCTTGCTTGTTCACAAAAGATTTTATTTTTCCTTCGCTTATGAAGCTTAGTTTGGCTGGATGTAAAATTCTGGGTTGAAAGTTCTTTTCTTTAAGGATGTTGAATATTGGCCCCCACTCTCTTCTGGCTTGTAGGGCTTCTGCTGAGAGATCTGCTGTGTCTGATAGGCTTCCCTTTATGGGTAACCCAACCTTTTTCTCTGGCTGCACCCAGTATTTTCTCCTTGATTTCAACCCTGGTGAATCTGGCGATCATGTGCCTTGAGGTTGATCTTCTTGAGGAATATCTTTGTGGTGTTCTCTGTATTACCTGGAGTTGAATATTGCCCTGCCTTGCTAGGTTGGGAAAGTTTTCCTGAATAATATCCTGAAGCGTATTTTCCAGCTTAGATTCATTCTCTTTGTCACATTCAGGTACACCTATCAAGCGTAGATTAGGTCTTTTCACATAGTCCCGTATTTCTTGGAGACTTTGCACGTTCCTTTTTATCCTTTTTTCTCTAATCTTGTCTTCTCGTTTTATTTCATTAAGTTGGTCTTCGACTTCTGATATCTTTTCTTCTGCTTGATTGATTCGGCTGTTAAAACTTGTGCATACTTCGCGAAGTTCTTGTGTTGTGTTTTTCAGCTCCATTAATTCACTTATATTCCTCTCTAAATTGTGTATTCTTGTTAACATTTCGTCAAACCTTTTTTCAAAGTTCTTAGTTTCTTTGCATAGGGTTATAACAAGTTCTTTTAATTCACAGAAGTTTCTTCTCATCCACCTTTTGAAGGCTCCTTCTGCTAATGGAACACAGTCTTTCTCCATCAGGCCTTGTTCTGTTGCTGATGAGGAACTGTGATCCCCTGTAGAGGGAGAGGCATTCTGATTTTGGGTATTCTCAGCCTTTTTAGGCTGGTTTCTTCCCTTCGTTATAAATTTATCCATCTGGGTCTTTATAATTACCGTCTTTATAATTGGGTTTCTGAGTGGACGCCCAACTTGTTGATTCCCAGTGCTAAAATCTGAGCAAACCACTGCGCCAGCCAAAACAGCAGCGTTAAGATTGATGGTGCTTTTCTGACTCTGCACCAAGAACCGCCGCACCAAGGCAGCGGCAAAAGCGCCTCGCCGGCCACAAGAGTCGTGCTGGCGACCTGTGGGGCTCCTCCACTGGGAATCTCCTGGTGCATGAGCAACAAAAATTCGTCTAAAAGTGTGGCGTCCTCTCATTCTCTGCTCTTTCACTGGGAGCTATAATCCCGAGCTGCTAGTGATTAGCCATCTTGGATCTCTCTCCTCATAAAGTGTTAATTTGTTCAGATGTGTCCACTTCAAGAAGAACCTGTGGGTTTCCATGAAATGCACATTTATGAAGTTGGAATCTCTGAAGAACAGGTGAAAGCAGCATTAAGAATAGGACGTGTGCTGAGTTAGGCCTGCTCTCTGCTCCCTTGGCCTGGCATCTTGGGGAGCCACATCCTAGGGTTTGTGTTTCACCCCTAAATGATGGACGTGGCCTGTGGGGTTGCCTTGGCTCTCTTTAGATTTAAAATGTATGCTTTTGAATTCTGCACCTATTTTGCCAGGTGAAAGGCTCCTGTTAATGTGTTTCAGTTGTTGATTTATTTTCAAAATTGCAACATAGCATAAAAGTATATGTTAGAAAGCTGCTGATCACTTATATTATTTCCCTGTACTCTTTTCCAATTTTAGTCTATATACCTTTTTTTTTTTTTTTCCTCATTTTTTTTCAGCTTTTATTTTTGAATCAGGAGGTATAAATGCGGGTTTGTTACAAAGGTGTATTGCATAGTGCTGACATTTGGAGTAAAGATGAATCTGTTACTCAGGTCCTGACCATAGTACTTAGTAGGTAGTTTTTCAGCTCTTGCCTCATTTCCTCCCTTCCTCTTCTCCTGTTCCCCAGTGTCTGTTGTTCCTGACTTTATGTCTATGTGTACTCAGTGTTTAGCTCCCACATATGAGTGAGTACATACAGTATTTGCTTTTCTGTTTCTGCATTAGTTCACTCAGGATAATGGCCTCCAGCTGAATCCATGTTGCTGCAAAGGACATTATTTCATTCTTTTTTTATGGCTGCCTAACACTCTGTGGTGTATATGTACCATTTTCTTTATCCAGTGCATCATTGTTGGGTACCTGGGTTGATTCCATGTCTTTGCTATTGTATATGGTGCTGTGGTGAACATATGGAACATGTGTCTCTTTGGTAGAATGATTTATTTTCCTTTGCATATGTACCCAGTAATGGGATTGCTGGGTCTAATGACAGTTCAACTCTGACTTTCTTAAGAAGTCTCCAGACTGCTTTCCACAGTGGCTGAACTAATTTACATTCCTACCAAAAATGTATAAGTGTTCCCTTTTCTCTACAACCTTGGCAATATCTGTTATTTTTTAACTTTTTAACAAAACCATTCTGACTGGTGTGAGATGGTATCTCATTTGCATTTCTCTGATGATTTGCTATGATGACCTTTTTGTATATATTTGTTGGCTGCTTATATGTCTTTTGAAAAGTATCCATGTCTTTTGCTCATTTTTTACCTATTGTTTACGTTTTTTATGGATTCTGGATATTAGACCTTTGTTAGGTGCATAGTTTGTGAATATTTTGAATATTTTCTCCCATTCTATAAGTTGTCTGTTTATCCTCTTGATAGTATCTCTTGCTGCACAGAAGCTCTTTAACTAGGTGCTGCTGATCAATTTTTGTTTTCATTGCAATTTCTTCTTAGAACTTAGTCATAAATTCTTTGCCAAGGCTGATATTGAGAAGGGTATTTCCTAGATTTTGGATTTTTATAATTTGAAATCTTACATTGAAGTCTGTAATCCATCTTAATTTTTGTAGATGGTGATAGGTAGGGGTCTAGTTTCATTCTTTTGCATATGATTACCCAGTTATCTCAGTACATTTATTGAACGAGGCATCTATTTGCCATAGTTTATTTTTGTTGACTTTGTTGAAGACCAGATGGTTATAGGTGTGCGGCTTTATTTCTGGGTTCTCCATTCTATTCCATTGGCCTTCGTGCCTGCCTGCCTTTCTTCCTTCCTCCCTCCCTCCCTCCCTTTTCTCTCCTTTCTTTCTTCCTTTCTCCCTTTTCTTTGCTTTTCTTTCTTTCTTTCTTTCTTTTTACCAGTACCATGCTGTAGCCTTGTAGTTTTAGTGAGGTTGGGTAATATGATGTTCTGGCTTTGTTCTTTTTGCTTAGAATTGTTTTGGCTATTCGGGCTCTTTGGTTTCATATGAATTTTAGAATTGTTTTTTCCCAATTCTGTGAAAAGTGACATAAGCCGTTTGATAGGAATAGCATTGAATCTGTAGATTCCTTTGAACAGTATGGCCATTCTAACAATATTGATTCTTCAAATCCATGAGCATAGAATGTTTTTTCATTTATTTTTATTATCTTTTATTTCTTTTCAACAGTGTTTTGTAGTTCTCCTTGTAGAGATCTTTCACCTCCGTGGTTAGCTGTATTCCTAGGTATATTATTATTTTTTTGCTGTTGTATGTGGGCTTACATTCTTGATTTGGCTCTCAGCTGTAATGTTATTGGTGTATAGAAATGTTACTGATTTTTGTACATTGATTTTGTATCCTGAAACTTTACTGAAGTCATTTATCAGTTCTAACAGCCTTTTGGCAGAGTTTTTAGGATTTTCTAGGTATAGAATCATACCATCAGAGAAGAGGAGTAGTTTGATTTCTTCTTTTCCTACTTGAATATGTTTTATTTCTTTCTCTTGCTTGATTGCTCTGCGTAGGACTTCGAGTACTATGTTGGATAGCAGTGATGAGAGTGGACATCCTTGTCTTTTCCAGTTCTCATGGAGAATGCTTCCAGTCTTTGCCGTCATTCAGTAGGATGTTGGCTGTGGATTTGTTGTAGGTGTCTCTTATTATTTTGACAAATGTTCCTTTGAACTTTTTTTTTTTTTTTGAGACCTTGTCTCTCTCTCTTACCCATGCTGGAGTGCAGGGGTGCGACCTCAGCTCACCACAACCTCTGCCTCCCAGTTTTAAGTGATTCTTTTGCCTCAGCCTCCTGAGTAGCTGGGATTACAGCCAGACACCACCAGACCTGGCTAATTTTTATATTTTTAGTAGAGACAGGGTTTTACCATGTTGACCAGGCTGGTCTTGAACTCCTGGCCTTAGGTGATCTTCCTGCCTCAGCCTCCCAAAGTGGGATTACAGGCATGAGTCACTGCACCTGGCCTTGGTTTGTTCTTGTTTTTCTAGTTTATATGAGATGTTTGATTGTTGATTTGAGGTCTTTCTAATTTTTTGATGTGGGCATTTAGTGCTATAAACTCTCCTTTTAATACTACTCTAGCTGCATCCCAAAGACTTTGATATGTTGTGTCCCTGTGTTCCTTAACTGAAAAATAATTTTTTATTTCTGCCTTAATTTTGTTGTTTATTCAACAATCATTTAGGAGTAGGTTGTTTAATTTTTGTGAAATTATGTGGTTTTGAGAGATCTTCGTATTGATTTCTATTTTTTTTGTACTGTGGTCTGAGTAGGGTTTTGATTTTGATTTAATTGAGCTTGTGATGTGTCTGAGCATGTGGTTGATCTTAGAGTACGTTACATGTGCAGATGAGAAGAATGTATATTCTGTGGTTGTTAGGTGGAGTATTCTGTAGATGCATTGGGTTGAATTGTTCCAAGGGTTGAGTTTGAGTCCTGAATTTCTTTCCTAGTTTTCTGCCTTCCTGATCTATCTAACAGTATCAGTATAGTGTTAAAGCTTTCCACTATTACTGTGTGGCTGTATAAGTCTCTTCAGAGGTCTAGAAGAATTTTTTTATGAATCTCTGTGCTCCAAAGTTAGGTGCTTATATGTGTAACATAGTTAAGCCTTCTTGTTGAATTGAACCTTTTGTCATTATGTAATGCCCATTTTTATCCTTTTTAACTGTAGTTGGTTTAAAGTTGTTTTTTCTAATAAAAGAATAGTGACCCCTGCATTTTTGTTTTGTTTTGTTTTCAGTTTTTGTGATAGATCTTTTTCCATCCTTCTACTTTGAGCCTGTGGATGTTGTTACATGTGAGATGGGTGTGTTGAAGTGAGAAAATAGTTGAGTCTTTATTTTTAAATCCAAATTGCCACTGTGTGGCTTTAAAAAGGGGCCTTTAGACCATTTACATTCAAGGTTAATATTGATATGTGAGGTTTTGATCCTACTGTCTCATTGTTAGCTGGTTGTTCTGTAGACTTAACTGTGTAGTTGCTTTATAGTGTCAGTGGGCTATGTATTTTGGTATGTTTTTGTGGTAGCTGGCATTGTTCTTTTGCTTCATGTTTAGCACTCCCTTAAGGGCCTCTTATAAGGCAGGTCTAGTGGTAACAAATTCCCTTAGTGTTTCTTTGTCTGAAAAGGACTTTATTTTTCCTGTCCTTATGAAGCTTAGTTTGGCAGCATATGAAATTCTTGGTTGGAATTTGTTTTCTTCAAGGATGCTGAAAATAGGTTCCCAGTCTATCCTGGTTTTTAAGGTTTCTGCTGGTACCCTGATGGAGTTGGTTCTCTCAGTAAATGACCTGACCCTTCTCTCTAGCTACCTTTAAATTTTTTCTTTCACGTTGACATTGGAAAATCTGATGACTATGTCTTGTGGATGGTCTTGCATAGTATCTCACAGGGGTTCTTTGAATTTTTTTGAATTTGCATGTCCACCTCTCATGAGATAGGGAACATTTTCATGGACAGTATCTCAAATATATTTTCCAAGTTGTCTCCTCTTTCAGGAATGCCCATAAGTCACAGGTTTGGTTCTTTTTACATAATCCATTATTTCTCAGAGATATTGTTCATTTTTTAGAATTCTTTTTTCTTTATTTTTGTCTGACTAGGTTGATTTGAAGGACTGATCTTCAAGCTCTGAGATTGTTTCCTTAGCTTGGTCTATTCTGTTGTTAATGTTTCCAACTGTATTGTGAAATTTCTGTAGTTAATCTTCAATTCCAGAAGTTCAGTTTGGCCCTCCCTTCTTCTCTTCCTTCCGTCCTTTTTTTTTTTTTTTTTTTTTTTGGTGACAGGGTCTCACTGTGTCACCCAGGTCAGAGAGCAGTGGTGCGACCATGACTCGCTGCTGCAGCTTCTACCTCCCAGGCTCAGTTGATCCTCACACCCCAGTCTCCCTTGGAGCTGGGACTGTAGGCATGCGCTACTATGCCCAGCTAATTTTTTGTATTTTTTGTAGTAACAATTTTATCGTGTTGCCCAGGCTGGCCTCAGACTCCTCAACTGAAGCAGCCTACCTGCCTCAGCCTCCCAAAGTGCTAGGATTACAGATGTGATCCTAGCGCCTGGCTTGTTCGTCCTTAAAATGGCTGTGTTGCCTTTTGACTCTTGAATCATTTTAATGGATTCCTTGGATTGGATTTCAGCCTTCTCTTGGATCTTGAGTTTTCTTGCCATCTGGATTCTGAATTCTATTTCTGTCATTTCAGCCATTTCGGTCTGGCTAAAAACCATTGCTGAGAAGCTAGTACAGTTGTTTGGAGGTGAGGAGATACTTTGAATTGCTGGAGTTCTTGCACTAATTCTTTGTTACCTGGAGGGTGGTGTTCCTTTATCTTCTTGGAGTTGCTGCAGCTTGGATGGGTCCTTTTGTTTTCATATTCATCATTTTCCTTGAGGGTTTGATTGTGGTGTATGCCGAATATAATCGATTGACTTCCTTTCTGGGTGCTTTCAGGGGGCTGAGGCTCTTTCTTTGTGCTAGGTTCCTGCATTGGGCTTCAGAGGTGATGTATACTAGAAGAATTTTTTTTTTAGTGATTTAATTCAGACTGTGATCCAGTATATGGCACTTAAGGGTAAGGGCTAGCACATAGGCTCTTAGATTGGAGTCCGTTCAGCACAGTGCTCTGTTCTGGGGGGTAGGGGGAGGGAGAAAACCCCTCTCACCAGGGTCATTCTCAGGCCCTAGAGGAGCCCCCTCCAATCACTGGTGCCATACTCACATTTCCTGAACCCCAAGGTGGGGTTCCCTGGCGGGCTTTGCTCCCCACCCCTTAGCAGTGACCTGAGCTGAAGGTTAGGTCACCAGGAGACCCGCAGCATTTTGGAGGCCCGCTGGTCCTCTGTGCTTGGCAGAGTCAGAGTGGGTTGTGGAGTATGGCTGTGGGTGGTCTGTTGGTATAGTAAGTCAAGGGTGGGGGTTCTCATGGCAGGCTGATACCATGGTTGTGCAGCTGTATGTTGCCTGCAGTCTGTTGCCCACAGCCTGGGGTTTTTGCCCAACAGTCAGTTGTTGGGACTGCCCAGCTCATGCTCCCTCAACCAAGTCTGCTGGTGTCTGCCCCTGTAGCTGGCTTGACCAGTTAGTGTATGCCATGCCTTCTGTGCCAAGATCACTGGGCTTTTACGTGTTTCATGCCATAGGGTTCCTTAGGCAGATGCAAAGCTGGCAAACAGGCCCACCCTTCCCAGACCTCAGTGTCTGTGTTGCCTCTCTATCAATGCTGTGTTTTCTTTCCAAAGATCTCCTCAAAGCATATGGTTTCCTCACTATTTTGCTCTGTTTTGGTGGGAGAGGCCGTACTGACTACGTCTAGTCAGCCTTCTTGTCTCCCTTCTATGGACGTATTTTTACATAGTGATGTTATTGATAAACATGCACTGTGTCAGTAACATAATGTATGCCACTGTCCTAATATCCTTACGTTCACTGTGTATCTACTGTGTGAGGCGTTCAGCTGGGTGCTATAAGGAGTCAAAACAAGGAAATAGCTATTTGCCTCATATATGGCTCACATTGCACTTAATTTCACTATACAATATGCCACATAGCACTGGAAGTCATTTAAAAAAAATTTGTTTGCCATTGTTAGGTTTTTCTAAAAATAAGCTTTGTTTTTTTGAGACAGAGTTTCGTTCTTGTTGCCCAGGCTGGAGTGCAATGGCGCAATCTCAGCTCACTGCAACCTCCGCCTCACGGGTTCAAGCAAGTCTCCTGCCTCAGCCTCCCAAGTAGCTGGGATTACAGGTGCACACCACCACACCCAGCTAATTTTTTTGTCTTTTAAGTAGAGATGAGGTTTCACCACGTAGGTCAGGCTGGTCTGGAACTCCTGACTTCAGATGATCCGCCCACCTTGGCCTCCCAAAGTGTTGGGATTACAGGCATGAGCCGCCATGCCCGGCCTTAAAAATAAGCCTTTTATCTTGAAGTAATTTTGTATTTACAGAAAAATTGAACGATAGTACACGTAATTTCAATATAAGCCCTTTACTCAACTTTCCTCTTTTATAATAATCTTGGTAAATTTGTCAAAAGTAAGAAATTAACATTAGAACATTACTATTTACCAAACTAGACTTTACTTCCATTTCACCAATTTCCTTCTATTATCCTTTTTCTATTTCAGTATCCAATGTAGAATAGCACATTGAGGTAATTTGTCTTATATTTAATAATCTGGTCCATGATTATTTTAAGAATATAAGTTTTGTGTAAGTGTAGTATTATCTATTATAACAAATTTTGAAATGGCTGAATGGCACAAAGAAGAAAGCTTGCCTGCCATGCTTTAAAAGTACAGTAATAGAAATAGTTAAATTTGTGTGTTTTTAAAATCTCTCCCATAGAGATGATGAAAGACAAAAAGTATGTTTGGACATAGTTTATAAGGTGATGCCAAAATTAAAACCAGTTGAACTCCGAGAACTTCTGAACCCTGTTGTGGAATTTGTTTCCCATCCTTCTACAACATGTAGGGAACAAATGTATAATATTCTCATGTGGATTCATGACAATTACAGGTAAGGTATACATTGACTATTTTATTTTTTTATTTTTTGAATCACAGGTCACTGCAGCCTTGACCTCCTGGGCTCAGTTTATCTTCCCATCTCAACCTCCTGAGTAGCTGGGTCTATGGGTGTGTGTCACCATACCTGGCTAATTTTGTTTATTTTTTGTAGAGACCAGGCTTTGCCTTGTTGCCTGGACACCACTGACATTTTATATTACCTTTTTAGGGATCATTTGGGTCCAGTCTAGCAATCTGGAACATAATGCATTTTTTTAATCATATGATTAATAATTAAAACACATTTATTTTAGTATAGTATATCCTTTTAAAAACTCATTTCACTTACCTGTGTGAAATAATCAGTGAAAAAGTGTCATGTTGTGCGAATAAAACCTATTTTCATAGTTGTCCTTTTAAAATCTGGCAAGAGTAAGGAGATGAACTCTGCCAGGACCCTTATCCTAGGAGCACTGGGCACTACCGCACCACCACAGCTGAGCATCGCAAGACCACTTGGTCTCCTCTGGACCCCTCCTCCCGTTCCACTCTCCTCCTGCTGGGAGCAAGGATGGGTTCTCAAGGCTTGTGTGTGTACACACCCATGATGGGGGCAAGCTGTGATTTGAGGATCTAAAGTCTAATGGGAAAAGCCAGCCTTTTTAAATTTAATTCTAGACAGTGTTATTGTGGTTGAGCAAAAGGGCTAGAAGAGAGCATTAATGTTTTGTCATTTTGTTGTTTTCTCAAACAGAGATTCAGAAAGTCAGACAGATAATGACTCCCAAGAAATATTTAAGCTGACAAAAGATGTGCTGATTCAAGGATTGATCGATGAGAACCCTGGACTTCAGTACGTGCTCCCCCTGAAAAACTGGGTCGGGACAATTAAATGTTAAGGGTACTACTTTCTAAGGTAGCATAGAGTATTTTTCAGCAATTTTAGAAATGTGTTTGCAGTATTAGCAGTTTTTCTGCTTTCTGCATTTCCTAGTATTTAGTAAAAGTGTATTTTAAAGCACATTATGAAGATTAAGATTTTAAAATCCTGACAAAAACACTTTTGAAACAGTGGTATGGACCAAATGCTATATGCTACAGCAGTGAGATAAAGTGCTTCAAAATGAATAGAAAGTCTGTAATGATGATTCCTCTGTTTCCCATTTAACACACCTACTTAAGATCATGCTGTAAGTATTAATATTGAAAATGAAGTGTTTGAAACCTTAGAAATGAGAGGAAACCATTAATATTAGTTATATACGAAAGTGTAAATGACAATTGTTACCCTCTGAAATGCCTGCCCTGAGTAAGTCAGTTATATGTGTTTCCAAATACTGACTATATAAGAAGGGGCATAAACTTTTTTTTATTAATACAGTTTTTAGAGATGAGGAGGTCTTGCTCTGGCACCCAGGCTGGAGTGCAGGAGTGTACAGTTGTAGCTCACTGCAGCCTCTGACTCCTGGGCTCAGGTGATCCCCCTTCCTCAGTCTCCTGAGTAGCTGGGAACCAGGCTTGGCTATTATTTATTTTTTGTAAAGATAGGGTCTGGCTATGTTGCCCAAGCTAGTCTTCAGTGCTTGGGCTCAGTCCTCCTGCCTGGGTTTCCCAAATTGCTGGGACTGTAAGTGTGAGCACTGCGCCCAGCCTCAATATAAGAAGACACACGCTTTTTGTATGTTTTATATATCACTATTTTTCTATTCTGTTACAATTTTAAATTCATAGAGCTTCTTAAAATTGTATTTGGATTTCATATGCATTTATAAATTATAGGACCGAATTATTTATTTGAGATGGAGTCTCACTCTTGTCACCCAGACTGGAGGGGAATAGCACGATTTCGGCTCATTGCAACCTCCACCTCCCACGTTCAAGTGATTCTCCTGCCTCAGCCTTCCGAATAGCTGGGACTACAGGTGCATGCCACCACTCCCAGCTAATTTTTGTTACTTTTAGGAGAGACAGGGTTTCACTATGTTGGCCAGGCTGGTCTTGAACTCCTGACCTTAGATGATCCACCGACTTCGGCCTCCCAAAGTGCTGACATTATAGGTGTGAGCTACCATGCCTGGCCCTAATTTGTTATTCAATTAATATAAGTTTTGGGTATTTTATGGCAGTAATTTTTATAGTGAATTGTTTTGGCAAGGCAGTGAAGGATTTCATGTAATTTCTTAATTTTTTTCAAATAGTTATTATGCACTCATCATTGAAAAATTTCCAGGGAATTGAGATAAGAGAATAAAATCACCCAGTTTCTCTCCTCGTTAAATATGCTACGTTTTTTGTAACATTTCCCTCCTTTACTCCTTCAGTGGATATGTTTCCTAACTCAGACTATACTTTTTTTTTTTTTTGAGAAGTCGTCTCTCTCTTGTCCCCCATGCTGGAGTGCAGTGGCACGATCTTGGTTCACTGCCACCTCCGCCGCCTGGATTCAAGCAATTCTCCTGCCTCAGCCTCCCTAATAGCTGGGATTACAGGCACCTACCACCACGCCTTGCTAATTTTTGTATTTTTAGTAGAGATGGGGTTTCACCATGTTGGACAGTCTGGTCTTGAACTCCTGACCTCAGGTGATCTGCCCACTTCAGCCTCCCAAAGTGCTGGGATTACAGGCATGAGCCACTGTGCCTGGTGCCAGGATATAGTTTAGATAGTGTTGAATGTGGTTTCACTCTTTGTTGAGCTTCATATGGGTGAAGAGTTGTGCCTTCTCCATAGGACACCATGTACAGCACATTCTTTCCCATTTTCCATTGTCTGAGCAGTATACTTTTTCCTCTTTGGTTTTCAGATTAATTATTCGAAATTTCTGGAGCCATGAAACTAGGTTACCTTCAAATACCTTGGACCGGTTGCTGGCACTGAATTCCTTATATTCTCCTAAGATAGAAGTGCACTTTCTAAGTTTAGCAACAAATTTTCTGCTTGAAATGACCAGCATGAGCCCAGATTATCCAAACCCCATGTTCGAGCATCCTCTGTCAGAATGCGAATTTCAGGTAATTTGGTCTTCTCTCTCATAGTAGTGAATATTAAAAGGTTTTCCTGTTCATGAACATTTTTCATAGCTTTGACTGGCTCTTAGCCTTCTCAAATACTCACACATTCTTTTCTGAAGCTCGTGCCTCTGCTCTTCCTACCTGGAGGTCTAAAGGCCTCACCCTCCTGGCCTCCACTAGATTTCTCTTCTCAGGATGGCCATTGCTCTCCCTCCCCTCACTCCTCCCAACCCACAGTGGATGCTGAGTTTGTGCTGTCTCACAGCAGCCTTAACAGGGCATGATGGGCAGGTGTCAGAGAGCTCCTGGGGCAGGGCCCCTCTGTCCCACCCACACACTCAGGATCTGTCCCAATGTCATGTGCTTGTGTGGGTGAGTTGGGTCACTTGACTTGGGTTGTGGTGCTGAGCATGATATCAAGCCTTTTTATGCAAACATTAAGAAAGTTGGGTTTTCTTCCTCAATAGTTTACTAGTTTTTCTAATTGGCAAATCACGTAGTTAAAACTTTTAAATTAGAGAAGGTTCTTCTTCAGCTGCATATGAAGTTATGGTACACATATGCTGATGGTACCATTGGATTTTAAATAGAAATATATCAGTGTTCCTACAAAAAGAGCATTACTTCATTTGAAACTTCCTTCTATACAGGAATACACCATTGATTCTGACTGGCGTTTCCGAAGTACTATTCTCACTCCGATGTTTGTGGAGACCCAGGCCTCTCAGGGCACTCTCCAGACCCGTACCCAGGAAGGGTCCCTCTCAGCCCGCTGGTCGACGGCAGGGCAGATAAGGGCCACCCAGCAGCACTATGACTTCACACCGACACAGACTTCAGGTAACAGTAACCCGGTCCTCGGGCCATGTATACAGCACTCTGACCTGTGGGCAGCTTCTGTCACAGAGCATTGGCCTTTTGCGAGAGAAGTAAGGGATAATAGCATAAAGCAATAGGAACTCACGGTAGATGTCAGTCAAAGGAGGTGTTCCTAGGACAGTCAGATTCATGGAAACAGAAAGTAGAGTGCTAAGTGCCAGGGGCTGGGAAGGAGGGAAGGGGATTTATAGTTTAATGGGCATAAAATTTCAGTTTTGAAGAGGAAAAGTGCTGTGGAGGCAGGGTGCAGTGACTCATTCCTGTTATCCCAACTGGGGCAGGAGGATCACTTGAGCCCAGGAGCTCTCCACCAGCCTGGGCAACATGGAAAGACCCCATCTCTACAAAACAGTTTTAAAAATTTAGCCAGGCATGGTGACACAGGCCTGTAGTTAGTTCCAGCTACCTGGAATGCAGTGGTACAATCTTGGCTCACTGCAACCTCCACCTCTCAGGTTCAAGCAACTCCCTTGCTTCAGCCTCCCAAGTAGCTAGGACTACAGGTATGTGCCACCACACCCAGCTGATCTTTTGTATTTTAGTAGAGATGGAGTTTTACCAGTTTGCCAGGATGGTCTCAATCTTCTGACCTTGTGATTTGCCTGCCTTGGCTTCCCAAAGTGCTGGGATTGCAGGCATGAGCCACTGTACCTGGCCTATTTTGCTATAATTTTTCTAAGAAAGAAATGGATTACTTCTGACCAGAAAAACCAGAGGAAGTTTTAGTATATGTATGTTTTGGTTTTGGCTTGGTACAGAAAAACATGGTGCAGCAAATTTAAGTCATCCCCAAAGCAGAGTAGAGGTAAATGAAATTCATTTACTAGATTTATAATTTATTAAACTGTTCTTTCTCAGATGTTTAACTGCTTCCTTTGATGAGCAAAGTACAAATTGTAGAGTAAAATACCTTAATCATTTTTATAAACCCTTTAACATTTTTCCTTTATGTAAGTTTTTTCACATTTTGTTGGTTCTGGAAGTGGCACTAATTTGAATAATCACAGTGGAAATACTATGACACTAATGTTAGAAGTCAGGGGCTCTTACCACCTTTTAGTAGATACAAAATGTCATTCCTGTGGTTGGAGCAGGTGGCGTGCTTCTTAGTTAACAAATGGGGACACTGAGGTCCATGAACCCTGTTTTCCTTGGGCAATACCCTGGGACCTGACAGAGCCTCTGCCTAGAGTTGGAGGTGAGCATGGAGGCCTAGGGTGCCACCAGTTGTGTCCTGGCAGGTGGCCCTGCCCCATTTGCAGAGCTGGGTGGTGCTGAGTGCCTGACCACTCTGATTGCATGTTGCAGATGGAAGAAGCTCATTTGATTGGCTGACCGGGAGCAGCACTGACCCGTTGGCCGACCACACCGGCCCCTCATCTGACTCCTTGCTGTTTGCCCACAAGAGGAGTGAAAGGTCACAGAGAGTACCCTTGAAGTCAGTGGGGCCTGATTTTGGGAAGAAAAGGCTGGGCCTTCCAGGGGATGAGGTGGATAACAAAGTGAAAGGTAAGTTGGGTTACTAAAGTGTGCTTAAAATAGCCTCTCCACTAAATTACTGCAGAGCTTAGGTCTGGAGACATTTCTGACTGTATCTATGTTTCCTTGTAATTCATAATCCCATCAAAATTTAATTCAGTTAATGTTGTCTAGGCACTTACCATGCTGCAGACGTTGTTTTTTGGGAGTTCTAGAAGAATCCTTCAGTAAGTTATCCTCGATCCATTGTTGAGTGACCTTCGGAGCATTAGGGGTGGGTGAGGCATTTATAAAGGGGTGATTGTAAGATGAGGTGGAATTAGCAAGCGCATTTTAGGGAGAGAAGGCTTAATCCTAGTGGAGAATGGGGAGAGTGTCCAGAGAGACTGGGTAATGGAGGGGCTTTTGAGAGGAACCTTGGAGCTGGGGGTGCGGGAAGGGAGAGGATGAAAAGGACAGGGATGGAGAATTGTCGGGGTGAGCAGGCTCAGAGCAATTCTGCAGTCCAGGTGAAGGGATGCTTTGGGGCATGCTAGAGTAACAGCAAAGGGTACTGCGAGGACAGGCTTGTGGGTGTGGGGTTTTGCATCAAACCCCAGCTTCAGGAAGCAGCCTTGTAATGAATCAAGCAGAGGAAGGCCTGGGATTGAATGGCTTTCCCTGAGAGGTTTGTGTGGGACAGAAGTGGAGTGACAGGGACTGGGAGGTAGAGGCCACAGGCACCAGGACCTGGTCTTGGCTGACTGACCAGAGGCGGACAGTGCTGAGAGGCTGGAAGCAGCTCTTTATGAGAAGCGCGGCTCTGGGAGGGAGCAAGGGCCCAGAGGAAGGACATGTGCAGAGAGGCAAGGGCCCACGACAGAACCCTGGGGGAGTACCAGCAGGGAAGCTCAGCTCTGTGGAAGTAAACTGAGAAGAACTTAGAAGCAAGGCTTGTTGCCTTCTTAACTAATTGTAGGAACTGAAACACATGCAACATAACATGCTTTACTCCGCCACTCTCTTTCATACTTTTCAGTCGCAAACCTGTGGCCCACACACAGTTCTCTAAATGGAAACCAGGAGAGGTCAGTGTGGCCCACCTTTTGGCACGCGCTATGAGGTGAAGGTGCGCTGGTGGCGGTCATTCAGGTGGAGCTGCCTGGTGCTGACTGAGAATAATGGGGTCAGCAGCAGGGAGCTTTCTGGGAGCTGATTGCTCAGTGGCCTGGCAGGGGTGCTGCTGTGGAGCTCCGGGCCTGCTGTCATCCTCCAATGGGGATACTTTGTGAGAATGCAGGTCTTTTCTCTGTGGATACTCTCTTTTAAACCAGTGTTCTGACATTGCACACAAGTGTCCTTGGGTGTAGGTCTGTTTCATTCTGTTTTTCTGGGCACACGGTGGGAGCTTCCAAGCTGCTGTCTCTCACCTTCCAGCTCTGTAGCATCATCACGGGTGATTTTGTTGAGTTCTTCACATCAGTTTGCTGTTTTCTCTTTTTGGAGTCCTGGTGCTTGGATGTCACGCCTGCCCAAGTGTCCTTCTGACATGTCACATTTTTTGCTTTGCCTCTTCTAGGAAATCCCTTCAACCTTATCTTGCAAACTGTGCATTTAAGTTATGACATATTTTAGTTTCCATGAGCTTTTTTTCATGCTCCAAACATTTATTTAGTTCTTAATTCTCTGCTGTAATGTCTACTCTCTTCTTTCTGATAAATGATAATATTTTGAATTTTTTTCCTTTATGATCTGCTTTTAACAATTGCTGTTTCCTTGGGCTTCTATCATTGATATTTCAAGCCTTCCTTAGAATGTGTAACTGTTGAAGCCCCTGAGGCAGCTCCTCTCTTGTTCAGTTACCCAGAGGCAAAGCACTCCCGGGCGAGGCGGAGTGGAGTTTCAGAAGGTGACTGCATGCCCTCCCTGGGGGCAACCTCTGCCAGTAGCATTCATCCACTGTTCAGTTGCAGCTGCACTCCCGCTCCTGGTTGCTGCCTCTGTGGCACTTTTAGGTTTTGTCTTTGAGGAAGCCCGAGATACAAATGAACAAGCGGAGCCAAGTGTCTGGGCAGCCGGGAGTAACTGGGCCTCCTTTCCCTCTCCAGGTGTGGCTGGCCGGGTGGACCTACTGCGGCTGCGCAGACGGTTTCTGAGGGACCAGGAAAGGCTCAATTTGATTTATGCCAGAAAAGGCCTTGCTGAGCAAAAACGAGAGAGGGTTTGTATTGTCAAGAATTTGGTCAGAACGATGCAGTTTCTGTCACAGGATACAGATGAAGTGAATAGGCTTCTGCCAGACACTGGCTCCAGAGTTGCCTGCAAACCAGGTGGCGGAGCTGCTCCAAGCCAGCCTCCTGGGGCTGCCCCTTGGGGATGCACCCACTGTGGCTCCCTAATGGGGGTTTGAGAGTGCTGTTCTGTAGTCTCCTTGGGTGGAAGCAGGGCCTGCAGCCGTTCCTGGGATCAGACTGGCCCTACCTCAAGGCCCATGCCCTGGCAGGGCTTCACTGGGCCTCGTTTCAGGCTCCGGGACTCACAGTAGCTGCAGTGTCCATTCCTTCTAGAAGTATGACAATAGGATGCATTTGTAAGAAGGGTAGGACGGGTCTTGAAGAAAAATCCCTGGAGGTGCTCCAGTTCAGCATCAGCCGCTGCCATGAGAGTTGCTCTGTCCATATCTGGGTGAAGACTCGAAGGGTGGTGCTGTGCCATCCCTTTCCCCCAGCCCTGCTGCCCAGTCATCTTTGGGGAGCCTGGGGTCTCCTGGGCTGCGTCCCCTGGGCTCTGCAGCTGCCCAGGGGCAGAGGTGGCCCGAGGGCAGGACCTGAGGTGGAGTGGGCACTAGCTGCCAGCTGGTCCTGCATTAAATCAAATTTTCTGATTTTATAAATACTCAGATTACTTTATAGTGAATATTTAGATAGGCTTTCCACTGCTTGTTGTGTAGAGATTTTTTTTTTTTTCTCCTGGATGCAGCGTCTGCCCTAGTTAGTAAAGCAGAGCGACTGAGCCTCAGTGAGCAACAGTTCCCACCGCTTGCCATTATGGTTCGGGGGATCCCAGCAGCCTCATAGTTCATGCAAGACTGGTTTCCTTCATTGAGAAAGCTCATCATCATCTTTGGTTCTGGTACTTATAGGAAATCAAGAGCGAGTTAAAAATGAAGCAGGACGCCCAGGTCATTCTGTACAGAAGCTACCGGCACGGAGACCTTCCTGACATTCAGATCAAGTACAGCAGCCTCATCACCCCCTTGCAGGCAGTAGCCCAGGTTGGTCCTTGCCACTGTGTTTTCTGTTGACAGGTTAAAAAATCTGTTTACAGTTTAGGGGTCTGCCTATGTGAGGAAACATGGGTTAGATTGTCCTGCAACATAGATGAGGTATTTGTTTGTCCTCCACAGTGGACTTGGTGTAAAGACCTTGCTCCAAGTCCTGGTTCTGCCATTTCCTAGTTCCATGACTTCTTTACACATGCTGAGATCATCAGTGCTGAAGACGTTGTCTATTGATTAACACTGCATTTGTCTGAACAGAGGGATCATAAATGAACAAATTTGTTCCTAGCTCTCAGGAATCAATGGATTGTAGACATGGAAACCTGTCCACCATGTGCTACATAAAAACAGCAGGTTACCAAACATATACTGTGTAAAGGTGTGCACATTAGTGAAAGACACGTGCCAGTGACTAATCTCTTTATGGTATAATTATGGGTGATATTTATTTTCTTTTTTCCTAAACCACATTTTCTGGGTGCTCTGTTCTGTTCAGTTGGTCTGTGTGTCTGTTTTTGTATCAGTACCATGCTGTTTTGGTTACTGCAGCCTTGTAGTATAGTCTGAAGTTGGGTAGTGCAGTGCTTGCAGTTTTGTTCTTTTTGCTTAGCATTACTTTGGCTATTCGGGCCCTTTTTTGGTTCTGTATGAATTTTAGAATAGTTTTTTCTAATTCTGTGATAAATAGTGTTGGTAGTTTGATAGAATTAGCATTGACCCTGTAGATTGCCTTGAGCAGAAGGGCCATTTTAATGATATTGATTCTTTTAATCCATAAATATGGAATATGTTTCCATTTATTTGTGTCATCTCTGATTTCTTTCATCAGTGTTTTTTAGTTCTCCTTGTAGAGATCTTTCACCTTCTTGATTAAGCTTATTCCTAGGTATTTTATTCTTTCTGTGGCTGTTGTAAATGAGATTGTTTCTGATTTAGCCATATTTTCTAAAATTTTATATAGTAATCACTAGAACTTCTTATAACAAGATAAATATATTATTTAAAACAAACAATAGGGAATAAATCAAATTTGTATGTTTTAGTCACACACAGTTTTTATCAAGTAATTTTTTTGCATTTGATTTATTTTTTAAAAATATTAAGTATAATCTTAAATCAGAATGTCACAGTAAACTTTTCAAGTATTTAAGTTTTGGCTGTGGTAACTAAGTGTAAACTGTTGCTTTTAATGTTCTTTTCAACAATACGCGGAAATCACACTAGAACATTCATGTAATTTGTTCATAAAACATCAAAAATGGATTACTATTATATCGTAAACATAATTAAAATAGATCTTAGACACGGAAAAAAAAAAACCACGATTCCAAAAAGCAGCACAAGTCTCACCTCCTTTAGAGGCAAACATATAGTAAAATTATAGTAAAATTAACAAAAAGATATTAACAGAATTGATCTGTCAATTATAATATAGAAAACTTTTTAACAGGGAAGATCTCTAGAAGATTACACAAAGTAATTTTTAAACTTTATCCATGCGTACATGCCTCCATTTAGCAAACTATATGCCAGGAACTGTTCTTGGTACTGATGTCACAGCGTGAATACATAAAGGGTAGTGTCATGTGGCTGTGAAGTGTGTGAGGGTTAGGGCCGTAAATGAATAGGCAGCGTGCTGTTTGAGGGAGCTGATGCTCAGAAGCAGCCTCTAATGGTTTCAACAGTTTTAAATGGTCAGGTGGTGGGACCTTGAAAATTAACACTGGCATTTTATTTAAGCTTATCAGTTATTTTAAGCTTTACCATGATGTTGATAGGAGGAAAATACCTAAACATTTAACCTTTCTCTGAGATTTTATGGAGTGCTGCACTAAGCACTGGCGGTGCATCATCTGGGCTAATCTTCCCCACAGTCCACTGTGGTGTGCTCTGGTACCTCCCATTTAAAGATTGGAGACCAGACTCAACTCAGGAGAGAAGCTGTGTCATTATTCTGTATTCATTAAGCCAGCTTTTAAATTCATCTCTCTGGGCCAAAAGTCCTTGTTTCCATAACATACATCAAATATATATTTAGTTAAATTCCACATGCTCCCCTTGTCAATGCCTGTTAAATCTTTTTAAATAATTAGCTGGGCATGGTGGCGTGTGCCTGTAATCCCAGCTACTCCGGAGGTTGAGGCAGGAGAATTGCCTGAACCCAGGAGGCGGAGGTTGTGGTGAGCCGAGATCGCGCCATTGCACTCCAGCGTGGGTAACAAGAGTGAAACTCCGTCTCAAAAAAAAAATAAATAAAAATAAAAAATCTTTTTAAATAGAGTTGAGAGGTATAATAGATGTGTTTGCAACAGTTTGTATTTTCCAAGCTCTGATAATATTGGTGATTTATAGCATTTTTGCTTCGGATCCTAATTTGTCTTTGTTTTGAATTTTTTACAGAGAGACCCAATAATTGCAAAACTGCTTTTTAGCAGCTTGTTTTCTGGAATTTTGAAAGAGATGGATAAATTTAAGACACTGTCTGAAAAAAACATTATCACTCAAAAGTTGCTCCAAGACTTCAATCGTTTTCTTAATACCACCTTCTCTTTCTTTCCACCTTTTGTCTCTTGTATCCAGGTAAAGTCTGCACAAACTTCATCAAATATACATTGTCTGCTGTGGCTTCACATGGTCGTTTTGTCATCATTGTGTTTCCGATGATGAAAATCTTAATAACCTGGTGTTTAACAGAGTAGATGTACTGTTTGGGTTACTGCTTCCCAAATGGGTAGATGTAATTTATTCTTCCCCCCGACCCCCCCAGAAAAAAAGATATGTGACAGAATAACCAGAAATCAAACTTATCATGTTTTATTTTGTAGTAAGCCAGTCCCCTCAGTGTTTTTGATGAAACCCTTCATTTGTTTAGTTGTTTTTCCTCATGTAGTATTTCACCAGATTCTTTCCTGCCTCTGACTGCTGTCAAAAGGTGTTGACTGAGAACACGCCTGGCTTTGTTCTAGGTGGTTGGGCCACATCAGTGAAAAGGCAAAATTTCCTGCCTTCCTCACCTTGCATTCTATTAACAGATAGGTGATAGGCAACCCACAGGGAGATGTAGAACTGGATATTAGACAGTAGTAAGGATCATAGTACTTGAGTAATAGGTAATTATTAAAGCAGTGTAAGGTAGTAATGAAGCAGGTAAGCAGGTGCCTCTTGGTGGGGTGGGGTTTATGTGCCTAGATGCAGTGGTCAAATAAGTCCTTTCGAGAGGAACACAGTCTGATCAGAAAATCTAATGTAACATTCAGTTACTACTTAAATATGTTTGTCAGAAGATTATTTTTCATGTAAGAAATGTTTTCTTTGCCAAAGTATGGATTATATCAAATTCCCTCATAGAAAATCTTTTTGATTCATTTTAGTATTTTTATATCTAGTGACCTTTTCTGAAGTAATTACTGATTTATTTTATGTATTGTTTATTGGTAGTATTTGTTTACGAACTAATTGGGTAATGCTTTTCTGAGATGAAATAGTTTTCCTGTTTTATTCTTTTTGATATAACATGAACTGTCAGTATAAATTTCTTTTGTACATTAGCTCTGTTTTTTATTGGTTTCTAGTGTGTGTGGGTGTGTAAAATCTTCATATTTTGGTAGTGCTTTTCTTGCTTTAAATTGATCCCTGCATTGGAAGGGTAAGATTAAAAGGTCATTTCCTCCTTTGAACAAATTGAATATTGCGGGAAAATTTGTTAGTAGATTTACACAGCAAAACTTCTGGTGATATCGCTACTTATATTGGTGCCTTTTATGTTTAGTAAAGTGTGTTTCTCCTTATGAAGACACGGTCCAAGTACCGCAGGCTAAACAGCTGCTTGTGTGTGTGGTTTCACAGGACATCAGCTGCCGGCATGCAGCCCTGCTGAGCCTCGACCCTGCAGCCGTGAGTGCCAGCTGCCTGGCCAGCCTACAGCAGCCTGTGGGCATTCGCCTGCTGGAGGAGGCTCTGCTCCGCCTGCTGCCCTCTGAGCTGCCTGCCAAGCGAGTCCGCGGGAAGGCCCGCCTTCCTCCTGATGTCCTTAGATGGGTGGAGCTTGCTAAGTAAGTTTGAGGTCGAGCACTCTTGGGAGCACACTGGATTTGACCAAAGGAATACAGAAAACACTTGGCTTCATTTGGCAAAAAATGAGCTAATACAGTTGATAGTATCACTAATGTGAAATTAAAAAAAATTGTCAGGCTGATTACCATTCTCAAAATCAAGAACAGTTGCCACAACAAGCAATGTCTTGCTCAAGGAAAGAGAATGTTGTTTACCTGCTGATTTCTTTTAATATACAATCTTTTGGACTCATTATTCACCAAGTTTAATTTCCTATAAAGTGTGGCTGTGCATCATAGTTCCTAATATTTTATGTTTTTTCCTGCTTCACTACACTGAATAGAGAATGATTTTGTATTTTCAGCAGGACTCAAGATTTTAGAAAGATTTTAATTCAGTTACTTTATTTGGGAAAAACAGATTCCATTTTCTAGTTATGCCATTTTGCATTATGTCTGATTCTTCCCTTCCTGTGATCTCATAACCACCTCCTGAGAAGGCTGTTAGGGTAAGGTTGAAATTTAACTTGAACTTCATTTTGTAGTGCAGATTTTTAGAGCTTTAGGTTCTAGGAGAAAAGATAGTAAAAGTAGGGAAGGGGAATCCTTGTGCTTTGCTGCTGTTTTGTAGTTGTTCACGTCCTTCTTGATTGAGCACTGTGTGTATAAGGTGCTGTACCAGGCACTGAAGAGACATGAAATTGGATTAGAGACATTGATCACAGACTTACAAAACTAGCAATCTAGTAGGAAGTGTGTGTACTTTACATATAACTAATCATAATTGAAGTAGGAGGTGCAGGGCCATTAAGAGAGGGCCTCTGAGCTATGCTGATTTTACCCAGGAGCCAGTTTTCTTTTATTGCTTCAGATATGTATGTGAACGGGAAGTTACACCTTGTACGTTTACTGTTTCCAGGAGTGGTAAACACATAGAATGTGTATTTGCTAGATAAATGTTAAACAACTTTTAAGGGCCTAAATTTTAAACATTTTTTTCTAACTGTATTAAATACATTTTCATACTTTTGTGATATTTTTACATTCCTTGCAGAGCCTTGTGAACGTAGTCTACCTTTTTTCTGATATGTCATGGCCATTGTTTTTACCATGTTATAGTGAACATAATCCAGGGACCTGGGAACCAGTATGGGGATACATAGGTGATCCCTTTCCTGAGTCTGTGCAGAATGTAGCTCTCCGTCTTCCCTGACGCTGGGGCCATGAGCTGCTGCTCTACCACCTGTCTACCCACCCACCTTTGCTACTGATTTATTACCCCGACCCTCTGTAATCTGGACAATAAGAGAGCCACATCTAGTAGATTTTATGGAATTCAGAATCCATAAGCTCTAGGATAGAGCCTGTAGGGCTCTTTTGATGTAAATACAAGAGATTTAGTAGCCAGAAGGGAACTGAAGAGCAGGAGAGCTAAGGAGGGAGCAGTTCTTGACTGGCTGGTTTAGGAAGAGATAACATTTGGGGTGAGACTGCAAGATGCAAATAAATTACCTGGAGGAAGAGAACAAACGTAATAAACACTTTGAGAATATCATGGATTGGGAAGCTTGATTGAAAGGGTCAAGCCAGAATTGTTAAAGAGATGAATGAATGCTCTAACAAATTGAGGTGGTCCATAGAACATGGATTAAACATGGCATCAGAGTCAGGATTACTTTTTATTTGCTTCTGGGTTCTATGGGCTAGACAAGGATTCAGAATGGGTTACCTGCAGATTTTATAGTGGATTAATACTAGAGAAGCTTATGTAATAAAACATTTTATACACTGTGAACCTTTGATATTTTCAGATTCCACTTAATTGCACATCAGAATAATTTCTGCCTTATGTATGACTAAAGTTATAAAAGCTAAGGGTTACTTCACAGTTTCTTAAATTTTGTATTTTTAGCAGAATTAAAGTAACATTTTATGTCTCTTTTGTTAATTATAATGTGTGGCAACTTGATTTACTGTCATTTCATTAGAATAAATAATTTCAAAATACTGTAGTGTTCGTTGATTTGGCCTTTTTTATTTGTTTCGTAGGCTTTATAGATCAATTGGAGAATACGATGTCCTCCGCGGTATTTTTAGCAGTGAGATAGGAACAAAGGAAATCACTCAGAATGCATTATTAGCAGAAGCCAGAAGTGATTATTCTGAAGCTGCTAAGCAGTATGATGAGGTAAGATTGATCTCTGGCAAATATGGCACTTAATTCAACACTTTTATTCTCTGCTCAACTATGACTTTAAGCAAAACGAGATACAGCAGATCTGCGAATATTGTTGTTTGGTTCAATGTCTTTTCATTATAATGCTGATTGGGGAGAAAATTGGTTTCATTATAGGTTCACTTAAGTGAGGACCTACTGTACTATGAAATTGTATGACATTATTTTATTTTTCTGCCTACTCTTACACAGTTTCTATTTGAATAGGTTGCTTTCTTTCAATTAGTTAAAAAAAAATTATAAAGAAGTGGTATTAGGCTGTTCTTGCATTTCTATAGAGAAATGCCTGACACTGGGTAATTTATAAAGAAAAGAGGTTTAATTGGCTCACAGTTCCACAGGCTGCACAGGAAGCATGGTGCTGGCATCTGCTTGGCTTCAGGGGAGATTTGGGGAGTTTTACTCATTGGTAGAAGACGAAGCAGAGCAGGCACTTCACATGGTGAAAGGCAGTAGCAAGAGAGAGACAGTTGCTGGGGTTGCCACATACTTTTATTTATTTAGAGACAGGGCCTCATTCTGTCACCCAGGCTGGAGTGCAGTTGCGCGATCATGGCTCACTGCAGCCCTGATCTCCTCCCAGGCTCCAGCGATCCTCCCATCTCAGCTACCTGAGTAGCTGAGACTACAGGCATGCACCAGTGTGCCCGGTTAATTTTAATTGTGTGTGTGTGTGTGTGTGTGTGTGTGTGAAAGAGAGAGACAAGAGTCTCGCTCTGTTGCCCAGGCTAGAGTGTGATGGCACAATCTTGGCTCACTGCAACCTCTGCCTTCCAGTTTCAAGTGGTTGTCCTGCCTCGTCCTCCTATGTAGCTGGGATTACAGGGGTGCGCCACTGTGCCTGGCTAATTTTTTGTATTTTTAGTAGAGACAGAGTTTCATCATACTGGTCAGGCTGATCTCGAACTCCTGGCCTGGTGATCCACCCACCTCAGCCTCCCAAAATGCTGGAATTACAGACCTGAGCCACCACACCCAGCCTTAAAATTTTTTTTGTAGAGTCAAGGTGTCACTGTGTTGCCCAGGCTGGTTGAGAACTCCTGAGCTCAGGCCATCATGCCTGAACCTCCCAGAGTGCTACGACCACTCATCACCATGGGAATGGTTCACTCCATTCATAAGGAATCTGCCCCCATTGATCCAAACACCTCTCAACAGACCCTACCTCTGATATTGAGGATTACATTTCAACATGAGGTTTAGGTGGGGACACATATCCAAACTATATCAGAGGTAAAGAAGAATTTGGGAGATGACTGTTAAGTTCAGTTTTGTGCATTTTGTCAGTGGTTATTCAAGTGTAGGTATTGAAATTCAGAATCTGTGACCTGTGAGACTCTACAATGAGCAGTTCAGGTTTTAAAATCCTCTACAATTTTCTACAAATGTCCTATATTCTGATTTTATGTTCTAAGAACTTGTCTTCAGTCTTACTAATTGGTTTCATTGATGACTTTCTCAGAGAAATGATTTCCTCCTAGTTAGGGTTTTTTGTTTTGTTTTGTTTTATTCTCCCAAAACAGGATCTCACTCTTGTCACTCAGGCTGCAGTGCAGTGACATGATCTCAGCTCACTGCAGCCTCACCCTCCTGGGCCCAGGTGATCCTCCCACCTCAGCCTCCCAAGTAGCTGGGACTATAGGTGCTTGCCATCAAACCTGGCTTGTTTTTGTATTTTTTGTAGAGACAGGGTTAGGCACTGTTGCCCAGGCTGGTCTCAAACTCCTGGACTCAGGTAATCTACCTGCCTCAGCCTCCCACAGTGCTGGGAACACAGGCGTGAGTCAGTGCACCTAGCTGGGTTTTTCTAGTCGTTTAGTACTGTAGGATTCCTTTTGGTTATTTTTCCATTCAGTGTTACTCTGAATAGCTTCTCTGAAAAGGATTGTTTTTAATGTGATTGTTACATTCCCCCATTTTACGTGTTTTCACTGGTATTCTTTCCAAATTTGTAAAATAATTTTATTAACTTTTATATACCAGGCTCTCAATAAACAAGACTGGGTAGATGGTGAGCCCACAGAAGCCGAGAAGGATTTTTGGGAACTCGCATCCCTTGACTGTTACAACCATCTTGCTGAGTGGAAATCACTTGAATACTGTTCTACAGCCAGTGTAGACAGTGAGAACCCTCCAGACCTAAATAAAATCTGGAGTGAACCATTTTATCAGGTGGGTAAAATTATTTTTAAGTCTTTGAAGTAAATATTTTAGATAGATGTTTTCTAGTTAACAAAGTTGTTTAAAACGTTTCAAAAACAGGTAGTTGTAGTGAAGCATTAGGGTAGTTACATGACCTGACTCCACCTACAAACCTCAGAGTATTGTCAATCTCTCATCCCTTTTAGCTAATAATCTTTTCCAAATGAATGTGATGCATTTTAAAATAAGTATTAACATTCCTGGTATGACTACATGGCAGAATATTTCCTGTTGTCTCTTATATTACAAGAAGTTGCCCTGGATCACTGGCTACACACAGCTCCTTGGACAAGCTGATCTCCTGGTTTTTCCACACCAAAGCTATCCTGACTGTGCTTGTAAATTCCTCAGTTTGTATGTAACATCCAAATCATCTTCCAGCTAAAAGTAGTTCCCATTTTGTGTAGATGTTCCTGTATGTTTTTTGGTTATGAAACAAGCTATTTTAGATGAATTTATTTTAAAAGTTAGAGTTTACTGTTTCAGACATCAAACATCATCACTTTGGCTCTAAATATTGACCTATAAAAGGGCAGGAAAGAATATTATAGAAATAAAATAATTAGACATACTCAAATTGGCTTTCTGAAGTTACAAATATCTTTTTATGTTCCTCAGGAGACATATCTGCCTTACATGGTCCGCAGTAAGCTGAAGCTGCTGCTCCAAGGAGAGGCTGACCAGACCCTGCTGACATTTATTGACAAAGCTATGCACGGGGAACTCCAGAAGGTGATTCTAGAGCTTCATTACAGCCAGGAGATGAGTCTGCTCTACCTCTTGCAAGATGATGTTGACAGAGCCAAGTATTACATTCAAAATGGCATTCAGAGTTTTATGCAGGTAATACTATGTATTATATATATTAGTATAATAATGTAGATCTATCTGAAATATACCATGTTTAGGATGTATTTAAAACTCAGTAAACTCATGGGGAAAAAAAACAAAATTTTTCAGGTACTTTTTTTTTTAGACTGAATTTTGCTTTTATTGCCTAGGCTGGAGTGCGGTGCTGCAGTCTGGGCTCATTGCAACCTCTGGCTTCCAGGGTTCAAGTGATCCTCCTACTTCAGCCTCCCGGGTAGCTGGGATTACAGACGCCCAGCTAATTTTTGTATTTTTAGCAGAGATGGGGTTTTACCATGTTGGCTAGGCTGGTCTTGAACTCCTGACCTCAGGTGATTCACCCACCTCAGTTTTCCAAAGTGCTGGGATTGCAGATGTGAGCCACCACTCCTGGCCAAGAGTAGACTTTTCCATTTAGGGTAGCGGAATGGAAGATTGGTTGCTTTGTGTAGAAGAGCAGGGGTTGATCTTCCCTGATTGTTTTCTGCCACTGTCTCATTCCTTTTTGCTTTTCTGAGGCACTTGTTTGTAAGTCAATGTCTTGTATAGGGTTTATTAATAACATTTAGCATAGGTTAGTGACATTAAGCATAGAAGCTTATTCATTTGTTGTTTTCATTTTTGTTTAATATGTTGAAGTTGATTAGCACACTCGAGGAAATTTATGAAAAAGAGAATTGGCTTCTGTAGTCAGCAGTCTTACATTATAGGACATTGGGATTATTAAAACTTGGTGGCAAGTCAAGGCAGTGATAACCTTATGATGTCAGTTTTATTCATTACATTTTCCCAAAATGTGATTGAAACCTTAAATTATTTTTTAAAAATTTAAACTGTTAACTGTATCTGTGACCTAATTATTGACCATTCTGAGGCACGTTGGGTAATTGTCATATTTATAGAATAATTGCTATATGAAATATATTAGAGGACTGTTAAAAATTTAAAGTCACAACTTGATTTATAACATGGCATTTGCCTTTTTTTCTTTTAGAATTATTCTAGTATTGATGTCCTCTTACACCGAAGTAGACTTACCAAATTGCAGTCTGTACAGGCTTTAACAGAAATTCAGGAGTTCATTAACTTTATAAGTAAACAAGGTAATTTTTTAAATCTGTCATTTTTTTCATTTCTAATTGTGGAAGAGTTTTAGCTTGTAAATTTTTTTCTGCTTAGTGAAAGTGCTTGTTTCTTAATGTATGGGTTGTAAACGCCATTGAATTTCCTCTACAAATATGTATTTTCAGATCATTGAAATAAATGTTTAAAATGGTCAGCAGTGGTCTAGGCACCAGGGATACAAAGTGAAAGAAAACATGCTCCCTACATTAATGAAGCTTATGCAGTAGCTGGGGACTCCGGAGGATACCTGCCCACAAGGGTGGTGGGGCCTGCCCTAACCTGAGGGGTTGCAGGACTCCTGGAGGAGGGTCCTGAGCAGTGGGAAAGAGGCAGGGGCTTGCAGACAGAAAGTTTTGGTGCCCCTGAAGTGCATACTGAGGGCACTGGGTGCCCAGCTTGAAGGGAGAGCAGGGAGGCTGCAGGCAGCAGGGCCCACATCAAGAAGGCCTTTGTGTCACTGATGAGTGGGTTTTATCCCAGTGCCTATGGGAGGAGTACATCTTTGCAAAGCTAAAATGTTTTATTTGTTCATCTGAGTTTCATTTTTGTTGTAAATAATTTAAAATAACTACAAAAGATGCTTTTCAGAATACTAATAAAAACTGGTACTTATAGCTACCTAGTTATTTTCTATTTTAATTTTGGAAAGTTACTTTTCAAGTACATATTAATGATGTGTCATTTATTAACTGCTTTCTACTTTCAGGAGCTGCTTTAATCTCTTTATCAATATTACCTACTCTTTATAACAGCCTTATGAGATATATTTTTTTCCTTCCTCATTTTTTAGAGGCTTATAGAGATTACATGACTTGCCTAAGCTATTAAGTCAAATATTAAAATTTTGAACCCAGGACTGTCTCATCTAAGCTTGGATTCCTGACTGCCGTTTTCCCCCAATAGAAAGAAAACACAACGATGTGAACTTTCATTTTCATGAAGATTATTATGAATCTCTCTTCTGAGACCCTTGAGGCCAGAATGTTTTAGACATTAGAAATATAACCTGTGTACACGCGAGGGGCTGGGGCAGTATTCTATAACTCTCGAGCTTAAGTTACGAATATTCACATTGATGGCATAAACAAAAACTAAGTAGCCCTATACCAATGAAGATCAGATTTTTTTTTAATTTTTTGCCAAGAAAATTTGCTGCAACCCTATGAAAATCTTTTTAGTTATGAATGCTTTTTAGATTTTGATATTGGAGTTGAAGGACCATAGACCTGTAATAAATGTAAAAAGAATTTGTGCAAGTGTATTTCTCCGTGTTTATTCTCTGTCTTTAGGAAATTGAGTTTAAATGTCAGAATATATTAGGTTTAATATGGTAACTTTGTGTTCCTTTTGTGAAAGAAAAGATGATTTTTTAAAAAAATTCAGACAGCACCGGGCGTGGTGGCTCATGCCTGTAATCCCAGCACTCTGGGAGGCTGAGGTGGGCAGATCACGAGGTCAAGAGATCGAGACCATCCTGGCTAACATGGTGAAACCCCATCTCTACTAAAAATACAAAAATTCGCTGAGCGTGGTGGCGTGCGCCTCTAGTCCAGCTACCCGGGAGGCTGAGGCAGGAGAATTGCTTGAACCCGGGAGGCGGAGGTTGCAGTGAGCCAAGATGGTGACACTATTCCAGCCTGGTGCCTGGTGACAGAGCGAGACTGTCTCAAAAAAAAAAAAAATTAGGGGGCAGGAAGTTTGAATGTCCTATTTACTGATAGTGACCTCACTTTATCATTTGGTTGAGCTGTGGGTATAGTCACTATCTAATACTATTCTTAGGTAATTTATCATCGCAAGTTAACCTTAAGAGACTTCTGAACACCTGGACAAACAGATATCCAGATGCTAAAATGGACCCAATGAACATCTGGGATGACATCATCACAAATCGGTAAGATATAGTCCCTTTGAGTCAAATGTGGATTGTTTTTTGAAATTTTTGGCATTTTTTTTTTCCAAATGATGGTTAAGAGAAATGTGGGATTTGAGTCTAGTGAAGCTGTTTTCCATCCTGCCTGTTTCCTATTTTATGCTGGTGGCTGATCCTAAACCTGCTCCTCCAAGAAGGGAGACAAAGTCAGTGTGCGTTTGCTCTTCCCGTAAGACAGAATGTTAAGTAGTCAGGTGACTACAAAGAAGTTGACTACATAATGATTTTTATTATCGTATTTTATAGCTTGGATTTTTGACACTCATGCCTCCTACCTCCCAACTTCATTATGCAGTCGTGTGTCACTTTCCCAGGTCTCAGGTCATTTTCATATCCTTATCTTCTCCCACCCTATAACTACCCTGTGGAATCCATAGGGCAGGTAGTAACCATGTAGTAAAATCAGAGAGGTTGTGGTTTATTGCACACAAATGTGCATAGGAAATAGGACTCAACGACTCTGACCCCAAGTGTAGTGTTCTTCCATTATTTCCTCCACTACTACTGTTTTTTTTTTAACGTTTTATTTTGAAATGAGTTCTTGTGGAAAAGTTGCAAGAAAACTAGTGCTCTCCAGGGGGCCTTTAACCCAGATTCACTGATTTTTTAAATAACATTTTAAACATTTTTCCATGTTAGTGTTTACATTTGTTTCTTTTCTCCCAGACCCTACATATTATTTATTTTTTGAAACAGTTGTGAGTTTAAGCTGGATACATCCCTTTGCCTAGTTATAGATCAGTGTTCATTTCCTAAGAAAAAGAGGATTCTTTTATATAACTGCAGTTCAGTGATGTACCTTGGTGCTTTCAGTTTTCCTCCAGAGCCCAATTTCTATTTTGTCAGTTGTCCCTGTAATGTCCTTTGCGGCATTTTCTCCATCTCTACGAAGGGGTCAGTACAGAATGATGGACTGTATTTAGTTATTGTGTCAATTTTTAGTCTCCCAAAAGGCTTTGTGTGTCATAATATTGACACTTTTGAGGAATGTTCCACTGTTTGGGTTTGTCTTAACGTTTCTTCATGGTGGGCCTCAGGTGATCTGCCTCTGGCCAGAATACTCCTTAGGGTGGCAAATCACATGTGGGGGACAGTGTCCTTCTGCCTTTTACTGGTGATTATTTATTTATTTAGATACAGAGTCTTTTTGCCCAGGGCTGGAGTGCAGTGGTGCAATCTCAGCTCACTGTAATGTCTGCCTCCCGGGTTCAAGTGATTCTCCTGCCTCAGTCTCCCAAGTAGCTGGGATTACAGGCACACACTACCATGCCTGGCTAATTTTTGTATTTTTAGTAGAGACAGGGTTTCACCATGTTGGCCAAGCAAGTCTTGAACTCCAGACCTCAAGTGATCCACCCACCTTGGCCTCCCAAAGTGCTGGGATTACAGAAGTTACCTACCACACCTGCCCTGGTGATAATTTTGATTGTTTGGTTAAAATATTGTTTAGTCTCTCCACCGTATAATGCCATTTTTTTTTTTTCTTTGCAACAAACAAATAACTGTGGGAACTGCTTTGAGACATATAAATGTCCTGCTTCTCCTAAGACTTACCCGTCCATATTTCACATTTGTGGATGACTCCTGGCCCAAACTAGTCTTGACAATAATGGCTGCAAATAATCAGAAGTAACTCCACCATTCATTCCATGTTTATTGTCTACATCTTATTGTAAGGAGGCACCCTCCCTTCTCTGTTTACTTACTTATTTACTGTTTAAAGATGATCAGTACAGACTCAGGGATTCCAATTTTATTTAATGGGATATAACCTACTACTGTTCTTACTTATTTTGTGTTCAATTATCTCAGGTTTGGCCAGCAGGCCCCCCTTTACACTGACAAACCAGGCTCATCTTGCCTATTCTGTCTTCTTTTAGAAATGTTACAGTTTTCGCTCTTACGTTTAGGTCTTTGATGTATTAGAAGATAATCTTTGTAAATGGTGTGAAGTAGGGTAGGTGTTTACCTTTTCCATGTAGATATCTGTCCAGCCCCATTTGTTCAAAAAGCCTTTTATAATTGAGTTGTCTTGGCAATTTTTTTGGAAAATCAGTTGACCATGTATATGTGGGTCTATTTCTGGTTGCTACTATTGCCCTTGTTTTGTGTTTTTTCACAATAGCAAACTGTCTTCATTTATGTTGCTTTATAGTATGTTTTGAAGTAAGATAGGTTGAGTTATTGAACTTTTCTGTTTTGAGACAAGGTCTTACTCTGTCGCCCAATGATGGTCTACTGCAGTCTCAAACTCCCAGGCTCAAGCAGTCCTCCCACTTCAGCCTCCTAAGTAGCTGGGACCACAGGCATGTGCCACCGTGCCTGACTAATTTTTTTCGTTTTTTTTTTGTGGAATCAGAATTTTACCATGTTGCCCAGGCAGGTCTGGAACTCATGGGCTCAAGTGACCCACCCACCTCAGCCTCCCAATGTGCTGGGATTACAGGCATGAGCCATGACACCCAGCTCTACTTTGCTTTTCTTTATGAAAACTAATTTATTTTAGTTTATTTGCATTTATTTTGCATTTTAGAATATTTTTGTCAATATGTATAAAGAAAAACTGCTGAGATTTTGATTGGGACTGTATTGACTATAGTTCACTGTGGGGGAGTTGTCATCTTAACAATATGGAGTTACCCAGTTCATTAATATGACATATCTCTGTTAATTTAGATCTCTTTAATATCATTGATTTGTATTTTTTCAGTATAGAGATCGTGGATGTCTTTTGTGAGATTTATTCCTAAGTATTTTATGTTTTTTGGCACTGTTATAAATGGATGTTTTCCTCAAAATTGTTTTATATTTTCCAGTTATTTGCTGCTAATATAAATTGCTTTTTATATATTAACTTTGTATATTTGCTAACTTATTAGTTTTAGTTCACGTTTTGCAGATTCTCTGGGATTTTCTATCATATCATTTGCAGATAGGGTCATTTTATTTCTTTTTGAACTTTATGTCATGTATTCCTTTTTCCGGCTTTGTTAAAACCGTGAGGACATCAAGTACAGACTTGAATATAAGTGCTAAAATGACCATCTTAGTCTTACTTCTGATGTTAGAGAAGACAACTCACTCATTCAGCGTTAAAAAATGATTTTTTTTTAATAAATGCCTTTTATCACATTGAGGAAATTCCCTTTTGTTCCTGGTTTTCTGAGAGTTATGTTTTATCATAAATGGGTGTTGAATTTTATCACTTTTTCTGCATCCCAGCTATAGGCTGAGGCAGGAGAATCGCTTGAACCCAGGAGGTGGAGGTTGCAGTGGGCAGAGATCGTACCATTGCACTCCAGCCCAGGAGACAGAGCGTGAGACTCCATCCCTTCCCCCAGCACCCCCATCCCCCGCCCCCAATTTTTTTTTCAATTTCTTTTTGTGTCATTTTTGTTAAATTGTAATTTTCAATCACTTTGTCCATTTCTTTTTAAATTTCTGCCTTCGTTATTTGTTTTTTAAAATAAATTTGTCCATTTCATTAAAGTCATCAAATTATTGGTTTAAAATTGTTCACATTATTCTCTTATCCTTTTTATTATTTATAGTATCTGTGGAGGGAACCCCTTTTTCATTCCAGATATTGGTGATTTGTGTTCTCTTTTTTAATCCTTGATTCATCTGGGTAAAAGTTTGTCAGTTTTGTTGATCTTTTCAAAGGACCAGTTTTTTTTTTTTATCAGTTTTTTAAATTATCTGTTTTCTATTTAACTGACTTCTGCTGTCATCTTTACTATTTTTTTCTTTCTACTTTAGATTTACCTTGCTTTTCTTTTTGTAGTTTCTTTAGGTAGAAACTGTTGATTTTACACCTTTTCTTCCCTTTACTAATAAGCATTTAAAGTTACAGGAGTCCTTCTACTGCTTTAGCTGCATTCTGCAAATTTTGGTATGTCATTCAGTTCAACATATTTTCCTAATTCTCATGTGACTTGATCCATTAAATATTTTAAAGTGTTTTAATTTCCAAATACCTTGGTTTTCTGGCCGTCTTACTGATTTCTAAATTCCCCTGTGGTCACAAAACACCCTCTATATGGTTTCAGTCCTTTTAAATTTATTGAGACTTGTTTTATGTGCCACCATATGGTCTATTTTAGTAAATACCCCATGTATATTCTGTAGTTCTTGGGTATCATGTTTTGTCCATGTCAGTGAGATCAAGGTGATCAGCAGTACTTTTCAGATCTTCCATGTCTTTACTGTTCGTTTGTGTCGTTCCATCACTACTGAGATAGGAATGTCAAAATCTCCTGTGATTGCAGAATTGTCTATTTCTCCCTTTAATTCTGTGTATTTTTACATACTATATTTTGCTTTTGTTATTAGGTACATACACATGGATAACTGCTGTCTTTCTGATGAAATTCCTTTTTGTTGTTGTTCTTGAGTCAGAGTTTCCCTCTTGTTGCCCAGGCTGGAGTGCAAAGGCGCAATCTCAGCTCACTGCAACCTCGGCCTCCCGGTTTCAAGCCATTCTCCTGCCTCAGCCTCCCAAGTAGCTGGGATTACAGGCATGCACCACCATGCCCAGCTAATTTTGTGTTCTTAGTAGAGACAGGGTTTTTCCATTGTTGGTCAGACTGGTTTCAAACTCCTTACCTCAGGTGATCCACCTGCCTTGGCCTCCCAAAATGCTTAATTACATGTGTGAGCCACTGTACCCTTCTGAAATACTCCTTTTATCATTGTGAAGTAATGATTTATTGATGTGTGTGTGGATGGATTTCAGGTATGTTTATATATGAAGTAACATGAAGACACCCTAGATAATACTGTACTTTTAACAGTCATACATATTCGAAAGAACATATACATTTTCCCTCACATGTTCTTTAGAACATAAGTGTGTCTTCTATGTTCTTTATGTGTTATGTTTTCATATGTTCTTTATATGTTCTTTAGAACATAAGCATATGTCTTTTATTATACTTGCCACTCTGTACTCATCATTTATTCCTAAGACCCAGCTTTTCCTCTTGTGTCATTTTCCTTTAGCCTGAAAAATCCTCCTTTAGCAATTCTTGTAATGCAGGTCTACTTGTGATGAAGTCTGTTAGTTTTTCCTACTCTGAAGTTATCTTTATTTATGTCATTCTTGAAGAACACTTTCTTAGGATGTAGAGTCTGGGTTGATTCTCCCTGCCCCTTGCAGTATCTTTTGGCTGCTATGTCTCTGAAGATAAAGTCCTGGTTATTCCCACTGTTGTATTATATGTAAATATGTAATGTGTCATATTTTTCTGGCTGATTTCAAGGATTAGCAGTTTGATTATGATATGTCTAGGCATGGTTTTCTTTGAATTTATCTTGCCTGAAGTTCACTGACCTTTATGTCACCAAATTTGGGGAGTTTTCAGTCATTGTGTTTTTCCAAATACTTTTGTCCAAATTTCTCTTGGTCTCTTTGTGGGAATCCAGTTATACATACATTATGCCTTTTGATATTGTTCCATAGGTCCCTGGCTTTGTTCATTTTTATTCCATCTTTTTTTTGGGGGGGAAGGGGGGTTATTCATCATGTTAGATCATGTCTATTGATTTATCTTCAGTCTTTTACTTTCTTTTGTCTTACTTGTTCTTCTAGTAAGTCTGTGTAGTGACTATTTTATCTTAGGTATTGTATTTTCCGGTTGTAATATTTCCATTTATTTTTTTAAAAAACATTCTCTCGGCTGGGCGTGAGGGCTCATGCCTGTAATCCCAACACTTTGGGAGGCCAAGGTGGGCAAATCATGAGGTCAGGAGATCGAGACCATCCTGGCCAACATGGTGAAACCCCATCTCTACTAAAATACAAAAAATTAGCCGAGCGTGGTGGCACGTGCCTGTAGTCCAGAAATTCAGGAGGCTGAGACAGGGGAATAGCTTGAACCTGGAAAGCAGAGGTTGCAGTGAGCCGAGATTTGCCACTGCATTCCAGCCTGGCGACAGAGCAAGACTCTATCTCAAAAACAACAACAAAAAAAACATTTTCTCTTTTTCTGCTGAGATACCTTTTCATTTATTGTATGTGTTGTTTTCTTGACCCCCTGGAGCATAGTTAAAATGGCAGCTTTAAGGTCCTTCTATGATCATTCCAGCGTACAGGTCAGGATAGAGTTAGCCTCTGTTTTCTATTGAGATGAATATGTTCTCCTGGTTGTTTTTATCAGTTAATTTTGGAATGTAACTTGTGAATATAGTTCTCTTGTCTGTACGAGATACATTCAGAGATCCCCAGTGGAATCTTGAAACCATGGATAATACCAAACCTTTTGTATACTACCTTTTCCTGTACAAACACACCTATGATAAAATTTAATTTATAAATGAGGCACAGTAAGAGTAACAACAATAACAGTAATAAGATAGAATAATTCAAACAGTAAACTAGAATAAAAGTTACATGGCAACATGCGCCTGTAGTCCCAAATTCTGGAAAGGCTGAGGTAGGAGGTTGGCTTGAGCCTGGGAGGTGGAGGTTGCACTGAGTTGAGATCTTACCACTGCACTGCAGCCTGGGCAACAGAGACATGCTCTGTCGTTTAAAAAGAAAGAAAGGAAAAGAAAGAAAAAGAAAGAAAGGAAGGAAGGAGGGAGGGAGGGAGGGAGGGAAAGAAAGAAAAAGAAGGGAAAGAAAGAAAGGAAGAAAGAAGGGAGGGAGGAAGGAAGGAAGGAAGGAAGGGAAAATTCTGAGCCTGAATTTTTATTTTGTGGAAGTGGAAGCACTAAGTGATATCTAGAAAGTACTCTTAAAATATCATTGGTAATCTTTAAAGAGTTGGTTTATTAAAATGGGTAGTAAGTGTAATACGTAGAGTGTATATTTATGGTTTAAATGTGAAGAAAGGCCAGGTGCAGTGGGTCATGCCTGTAATCCTAGCACTTTGGGAGATTGAGGCGTGTGGATCACCTGAGGTTGGGAATTCGAGACCAGCCTGGCCAACATGGCGAAACCCCAACTCTGCTAAAAATACAAAAATTAGCCGGTGTGGTGGTGCACACCTCTAGTCCCAGCTATTCAGGAGGCTGAGGCAGGAGAATCACTTGAACGGGGAGGCAGAGGTTGCAATGAGCCGAGATTGCACCGCTGCATTCCAGTGCAGGTGATTGAGCAAGACTCTGTCCCCCCAAAAAAAAAAAAAAAGTGAACATTTGCTAAGTTTACAATTTCTGCCTGTAATTGCTATCCAGCAGTTTCCTATTCCTGAGTCTGTGACACTGTCTCATTTTTCTTTGTGTAGATGTTTCTTTCTCAGCAAAATAGAGGAGAAGCTTACCTCTCTTCCAGAAGATACCAGTATGAATGTGGATGAAGATGGAGACCCAGAGTACGGGGGCGAAATGCAAGAGCAGGAAGAAGACATCAGCTCCCTGATCAGGAGCTGCAAGTTTTCCATGAAAATGAAGATGATGGACAGCGCCCGGAAGCAGGTGGGTGCTCATGTCTATGCTCCCTGCTGTGTCACAGGATTTTGCTGAATTAGTTCTTCTCTAATTTTAGCTTTTCTTTAAAATCTGAAGCTTAAAATAATTGAGTAGATGTTATTTTTTTTCTTTCTCTCTTTATAAGAAAGTAAACTTGGCCTGGTAGAGTGGCTCACACCTGTAATCTCAGCACTTTGAGAGGCCAAGGCAGGCAGATGACTTGAGCCCAGGAGTTATAGACCAGCCTGGGCAACAGAGTGAGAGCCTGTCTCAAAAAGAAGAAAAGAAAGAAAGGAAACTTGAAGGAGCACTGAATTCAAAACTCTCCAGAAAGCCCCTGGAGTTTATTATATTCCTATTAAATGTTTTTAAATGATTATTATGTGTTACTTGAAAAGCAAATAAACCTACTCTCAGGTTTGATCTCCTTTAACAAAATGAATTCTTAACAGTTAATTACAAATTATTTTTAGATTTAGTTTGTAGGAATTATTATTTAATAATAGGACCCTTTCTTGATATTAACTATACATTGTTTAAAAATTGTATGTAATGTATTTAAATATATTACCATCTTTGAATATACTAGTGAAGCTTGCTATGTTAATGACCCTATATCAATTGCAATTGCAAAGCAAAGGATGTTGTTCTAGTGGAAATAATATTTCTTTTTTGTAGGTTTAAATGCTCATTTATAAATTTTTCTTTGGGTGAGTGCAATATCGGTTATGAATTTTTATATTGCAAATAACAGAAAATCCAGTTAGAGATAGGCAGAGCAGGAACTGGGTGAGAGAAGAGCAGGGTGGAAGGGGCAATCTGAACTGAAGGTCTTATTGGTAAGGGAGTTGGGGTTGTGGGTAGATGACTCCAGTGTAGTTAGGAAACTGCCTGGCACGATGAGAGAGAAGACACATTCCCTGCCATCATTGTTACTGTCTAGTGAGAGTGGGGGTGGCTTGCATGATGACAACAGCACTGGTGGGCTAGGAAGAGAGATGTCAGCAAAGCCAGGAGGGCATAGGGAAGAGAAGAACTTCTGCCTTGGACAGGGGAAAGGGGATAATGGTTTAAGGTAGACTTTGTTGGCATGGAAGGATTTGGACATGGAGAGGAGAAAGGTATTCCAGGTGTTAGGAGACACACACACAGAAACATGAAGGTGAGAAACAGAATGCAGAGTCTTAATGCTGGGTTTGTGGAGGGCTTGAGGCTGCATCTTTGCATGGATCAGGAGGCCGGTGAAGGTTCCATGCATGCTGGCCAGTTGTAAGCTGGGTGGGAGATTGACAGCTCTGGGGAAAGCAAAGGCAGAGAAAGACTGGGAAGCCCCACATTGAGGAGTAGGGTGGGAGCAAGCGGGGCAAGAGATGTGCTGTAAGGAGATCAAGAAGGACCTGAGGTAACAGAAATGATGAGTGTGTGTGACTGGGAATAATTCGGATTTCTAGCCTGGGTACTTGAAAGGGCAGTAATTAGGAAGACCCACTTCTAATGAAAATGTCTTTTGAAGCTTGAGAGTTAGAGGTGTAGATTTAAAAAGACATCCATATAAGCAACTAAATTAAAAAATGGATCAATTGTATTCCGAAGAAAAAGTGTTTTGCCTTACCTGAGAAGCTAAAGAATATGAAAAGAAGGCTGGCGCTGTGGCTCATGCCTGTATTCCCAGCACTTTGGAAGAGAGAGGTGGGCGGATCATGAGGTCAGGAGATCAAGACCATCCTGGCCATGGTGAAACCCCATCTCTACTAAAATACAAAAAAAATTAGCCTGGTGTGGTGGCATGTGCCTGTAGTCCCAGCTACTCAAGAGGCTGAGGCAGGGGAATCGCTTAAATCTGGGAGATGGACGTTGCAGTGAGCCGAGATAGTGTCACCGCACTCCAGCCTGGCAAAAGAGCGAGTCATAACACTTGACAACTGAACAGAAAGTCAAACAACCCAATTAAGAAATGGGCATGAAGTATTTGGTAAGACATTTCTCCAAAGAAGAAAGGCAAATGGCCAACCAGCTCATACAAAGATGCTCAGTATCACTAGGTTTGAGGGCAATGCAAATCAAAACCACAATGAGAGACCACTTCATAGCCACTGGGATGGCTGGAAGCATACACACAGATAACAAGCGTTGATGAGGATGTGGGAAACTGGAACCCTCCTGCACTGCTGGTGGGAATGTAAAACGGTGCATCTGCCATGGAAAACAATCTGGCAGTTCTTACAAAAGTTGAATATCGAGTCTGGTCCAAGTGCAGTGGTTTTTACAACTACTTGATTACAACCAGTTATAGATTTCTTTGTTGATTTCTCCACTTCCACTGCTTCAGTTGACTAGCTTAAAAAAAAAATAATAATAAGTTGAGGCCTGGCATGATGGCTCACTCCTGTACTTTCAGCATTTTGGGAGGCTGAGGCGGGCAGACCACCTAAGGTCAGGTCACGAGTTCAAGACCAGCCTGACCAACATGGTGAAACCCTGTCTCTACTAAAAATATAAAAATTAGCTGCATGTGGTGGCATGTGCCTGTAATCCCAGCTACTTGGGAAGCTGGGGCAGAAGAATCGCTTGAACCCGGGAGGTGGAGGTTGAAGGGAGCTGAGATTGTGCCACTGCGCTCCAGGCTAGGCAACAAGAGCGAAAGTCTGCCTCAAAAAAAAAAAAAAGTTGAACCTAGAGTAACCATATGACCCAGCATTTCTATTCTCAGACCCAAGAGAAGCAAAAGCATAAGCACACATGGAAATTCATACACAAACGTTCGCAAGAGCGTTACTCAAAATAGCTGGGAAGGTGGAAACAACCCAAATAAGACGTGGCATGTCCAGCCAGGTGCAGTGGCTCACGCCTGTAATTCCAGCACTTTGGGAGGCCGAGGTGGGCAGATCACTTGAGATCAGGAGTTCGAGACCAGTCTGGCCAACATGGCGAAACCCCGTCTCTACTAAAAATACAAAAATTAGCCAGGCGTGGTAGCGCACACATGTAATCCCAGCTACTCGGAGGCTGAGGCAGGAGAATCACTTGAACCTGGGAGTCACAGGTTTCAGTGAGCCAAGATAATGCCGTTGCACTCCAGCCTGGGCAACAAGAGTGAAACTCCGTCTCAAAAAAAAGATGTGGCATGTCCGTGCAATGGAATATTATTCAGCCATTAAGAGGAAAGAAGTACCAACAGGTACTATAACATGCACGAACCTGGAAAACATTATGCTAAGTAAAAGATGCCAGACACAAAATCACCACTTACTTTCTCATACCATTGTTACAGAATGTTTGGTGTAGGCAAATCCATAGAGACAGGAAAGGAATTTATGGTTGCCAGTGACTGGGTGCTGTGAACAGACAGTGAGTTTCATTTTGGGGTGATGAAAATGTTCTGGAATTAGGGGTGGTGGTTGCCCAACTTTGTAAAAATACTGAATTGTACCCTTTTTTTTTTTTTTTTTTTTGAGACAATCTCGCTCTGTTGCCCAGGCTGGTGTACAGTGGTACAATCATAGCTCACTGTAGCCTTGACCTCCCAGGTTCAAGTGATCCTACTACCTTAGTGTCCAGAGTAGCTGGGACTACAGGCACATGCCATGATGCACAGCTAATCTTTTAATTTTCTGTAGAGACAGAGTTTCACTACGTTGCCTGATGTGGTTTCAAACTCCTAGACTCTAGTAGTCCTCTTACCTTGGCCTTCCAAAGTGCTGAGATTACAATCCTGAGCCACAATACCTGGCCTGAATTGTACTCTTAAAATGTGAATGATATCTCAGTGATAAATTAAAAGACATAACTGAAGTGAAAGAAGTGGATTCGCTGCTCTGTGTTGGATTGTATCATCCAAAGGGGGAGGTGGGCCACTTAGAAACTTCTATCACTTCTGTATCCTCATACCACCGCCTCTCTTTTTCTTCTATTAATACAGAACAATTTCTCACTTGCCATGAAACTACTGAAGGAGCTGCATAAAGAGTCAAAAACCAGAGATGATTGGCTGGTGAGCTGGGTGCAGAGCTACTGCCGCCTGAGCCACTGCCGGAGCCGGGCCCAGTGCTGCTCTGAGCAGGTTCTCACTGTGCTGAAAACAGTCTCTTTGTTGGGTAAGTTGACTGCTTTTATCCATATAAATCTCAGAGGGCTGTTTTATATTGTCTTATGTATCTTCTTCTTTGTGCTGCATCATGTGGCATTTGGGAGGTAAATCTTTGCAGCAATTTTAGTGAATATAGCAAAGTGAGCCAGAGAATGATAGTTAGAATGATAGTTTGATTATTTTGAGAACTTTATATGTTTGCAGATAAGATGTAAACAAACATGAAAAGCCATTTCCAGACGGACATAGTGGCTCATGCCTGTAATCTCAGCACTTTGGGAGGCCGAGGCAGGCAGATCATGAGGTCAAGAGATCAAGAATATTGTGGCCAACGTGGTGAAACCCTGTATCTACTACAAATACAAAAATTAGCCGGGTGTAGTGGCAGGCACCCGTAGTCCCAACTACCCTGGCGGCTGAGGCAGGAGAATCGCTTGAACCCAGGAGGTAGAAGTTGCAGTGAGCTGAGATTGTGCCATTGCACTCCAGCCTAGGCAACAAGAGTGAAACTTCATCCAAAAAAAAAAAAAAAAAAAAAACCACCATTTCCTCCTTAGTTTTCTTTTCAAAATAGTGTAGTCTTTAGGACTACATTAAAGGAAAAACTTTCTTGGGCAGGTTTGGGTCTGTTCCCCAGCTCTATTGCCCCGTGTCCAAGGGCGTGTGCTAGCACTGCAGTCAGACACGATCTAACTAGGTTCCAAGACCAGCTCTTCAGCATCAGCCTCAACAAAGCTGTCTAGAGGAGAAGCACTCTTTATACCCTGATCCCAGAAGCAGACGATTATCCTAACTGGGCATGGTGGCACGCACCCTTAGTCCCAGCTACTGGGGAGGCTGAGGTGGGAAGATGGCTTGAGCTCAGGAGATCGAGATTGCAGTGAGCCATGATTGCACTTGCGAATAGCCACTGTATTCTGGCCTGGGCAACATACTGAGATCCTGTATCTAAAAAAAGAAGAAGAAGAAAATCATCCTGATGATTTTTTGAGGGGAGGAGGAAGAGTTTGCTGATATTAATATTGGTATCCATATACTTATATAATAACAATTATACAGGGTATGGTTATAGTTTGTAACAGCCTTGCATGATAAGCAGGGCCAGTAGTTGTGATCCTGTATCTGAGACAACTCTGGCAGAGAATTGTCAGACCATGGGCAAGGAGGGCATGTGGTTGACCAGGCCTCCTAGTTTCAACATCATTATTGCACCTCTGGACTTTCAGACTTAACCAGCGCTGGTTCAGCCCCTTGCCCAGAACCACACAGTAGAAGCAGAACTAGAACTTTAAATGCAGCAATGTCTGTTGCTTCGTTAGCCATGGGCCACAGTGTCAATTTTAAGATCTACTCTGTATTGTTAGTATAGGTACAAACACATTAGTAGCTATTTTCTATTCTTTTTAATAGAATTAGGTACTTTGAAAAAGTACAGAATGATGATGCTTAAACAAAAAGTTATTCATTAAAGTTTCCAGGTTGGCACGGTGGCTGATGCCTGTAATCCCAGCACTTTGGGAGGCCGAGGCAGGTGGATCATCAGGTCAGGAGATCAAGACTATCCTGGCCAACATGGTGAAATCTTGTCTCTACTAAAATGCAAAAAAATTAGCCAGGCGTGTTGGCGCGCACCTGTAGTCCCAGCTAGTGGGGAGGCTGAGGCGGGAGAATTGCTTGAACCTGGGAGGCAGAGGTTGCAGTGAGCCGATTGGATCACTGCACTGTAGCCTAGCAACAGACCAAGACTCCGTTTAAAAAAAAAAATAAAAGTTTCCATTGCTTAGCCTCTGTGAACTTTGATACAGTTACTTCTAGCAAAGAACATTTTTCATTAATATGTGAGTTCAAGAAATTCCCTAGCCAGTATTTGAGGTCAGTTTCTTGTACTTGCAACATTTATTTTTATTAGCTTCTTAATAGAACACAACTTTTAGGCCAAGCACAGTGGCTCACACCTGTAATCTCAACACTTTGGAAGTCTGAGGTGGGCAAATTGCTAGGGCTCAGGAGTTTGAGACCAGCATGGGCAACATGGCAAAACCCATCTCTAACAAAAATACAAAAAATTAGCCAGGCATGGTGGTGCGAGCCTGTAGTCCGAGCTAATCGGGAGGCTGAGGTGGGAGGATTGCTTGAGCTCAAAAGGCAGAGGTTGTAGTGACCCAAGATCGTGTCACTCCACTGGAGCCTGGGTAACAGAGCGAGACCCTGTCTCAAAAACAGAAGAAAACTTTTGTAGATAATGAATTTCTTCTTTTTAATTTCACTCATACAAACAAAGTGTTGTTTTTTGTTTTTTAATCCAACAGATGAGAACGACGTATCAAGCTACTTAAACAAAAATATTCTGGCTTTCCGTGATCAGAACATTCTCTTGGGTACAACTTACAGGATCATAGCCAATGCTCTCAGCAGTGAGCCAGCCTGCCTTGCTGAAATCGAGGAGGACAAGGCTAGAACAATCTTAGAGCTTTCTGGATCCAGTTCAGAGGATTCGGAGAAGGTAATACTGGATGCTAGTGTGCTGTGTGTGTCTTCAGTGTGCAGTCTTCAGGCTACAGGAAAGCTATAATAAGGGTATTGCTTTGTGTTTTTAAAATATATTTGACAATTATGCACAGCCAGTTTTCTTATGTGGAAAATTGGCATACTCTGTACTTCCTGTTTCTTTGAATCATACAGTTTTAATATTAAAACGTGAATTTTAAATTTTTGTTGGATTGATTGGACACTTCTCTTATGACTTTTGTTAATGAAATTTCCCCACCCATCACCATTCAGACATCCCACCAGCTTATGGAACAAATCAGCCTTTTCTGTTTTTTTATTTAATGCCTGCTTTGCTTGGCTTCTTGCCAGTTATTTTGTTTTTTTTCAATAACTGTTGTCCTGCTTCACCTCAGTTGTGTGGCCTTGTTTTCTCCCCCTGTGTTGCTCGTGCACCACCTGGCCTGCACTGGGCTTGCTTTCTTGTTTGGCTGTTTGTTACGTGCTGAGGATCTTACTGGAATTGATTGCTCCTTCATAGCCCGGGCAGACTCTTGTTTTTTTCCAGTTCCATAGTTTCAGTGTTATTTTGGAGCTGTTGATCCATTTATGTGTCATGAATCATAAATAGAAAGCAGAGTTCTTTGATAGTTTCAGTCATGCTGATGTGTTGAGGTCTCTGAATTCCAGGTGATTGCAGGTCTGTACCAAAGAGCATTCCAGCACCTCTCTGAGGCTGTGAGGGCGGCTGAGGAGGAGGCCCAGCCTTCCTCCTGGAGCTGTGGGCCTGCAGCTGGGGTGATTGATGCTTACATGACACTGGCAGATTTCTGCGACCAACAGCTGCGGAAGGAGGAAGAGAATGCAACAGGTGAATTGCAAAATTTAAAAAAACTCGTGTTCCATTGTGTCGGCATAAAGTCTTACAAGTTTTTCCATACTTTTGGTCTCCTATTTTTTTTGTTTTCAAATTGCAAATGTTTTGAAAATCCTACTGTCTTTTTTTTTTTTGGAGATGTAGTCTTCCTGTAGCCCAGGCTGGAGTGCAGGGGTACGATCTTGACTCACTGCAACCTCCGCCTCCCTGGTCCCAGTTCAAGCAATTCTCCTACCTCAGCCTCCCAAGTAGCTGGGATTATAGGCAGAAGCCATCATGCCCAGCTAATTTTTGTATTTTTTAGTAGAGACGGGGTTTCACCATATTGGGCAATCTAGTCTTGAACTCCTGATCTCGTGATCCGCCCGCCTCGGCCTCCCAGCGTGCTGGGCTTACAGGCGTGAGCCACCGTGCCTGGCTGACAATCCTGTTGTCTTTTTGAGAGACAATAGCAGCTGGGGATAGTGGATCAGGTGAGGCTAGGAGTTCAAGACCAGCCTGGCCAACATTGCGAAACCCCATCTCTACTGAAAATACAGAAAAGTTAGATGGACGTGGTAGTGCATGCCTACCGTCCCAGCTATTCAGGAGGCTGGGGCAGGAGAATTGCTTTAAACCAAGAGGCAGAGGTTGCAGTGAGCCGATGGCACACCACTGCACTGTGGCCTGGGCAACAGCGTGAGACTTCGTCTCAAAACAAGAAAAAAGAGGGCTGGGTGTGGTGGCTCACACCTGTCATCTCAGCACTTTGGAAGGCCAAGGCGGCCAAATCACCTGAGGTTGGGAGTTCAAGACCAGCCTGACCAACACAGAGAAACCCCATCTCTACTGAAAATACAAAATTAGCCAGGCATGGTGGTGCATGCCTGTAATCCCAGCCACTCAGGAAGCGGAGGTTGTAGTAAGCTGAGATTGGGCCATTGCGCTCCAGCCTGGGCAGCAAGAGCAAAGCTCCATCTTAAAAAAAAAGAAAAAAAAAAAGAGAGACAGTGGCATAAGCAATATGATGTACATTTAAATAGAGTCAAGCGGTCTCCTCTTTCCATTTGCTTAATTTATACTTCGATATTTAGCTTGCAGCTTCAATATTACTGGCTTGTGTGGCCTGCTTCATGCACCTGGAATAAATTGAATAACTACCAGCTGCCCCTTATGTATTCAGCCCAGGATGCAAACTACTTTGTGCCATATGGGCACTCTAATGGAAGGATTTGGCTTCAGGATAGATACAAAACTGTACCTGGTATTTGTTGGTCTAAAGTAGTTAGAAGAGAACAATGACACTACAAAATACGAGCCAAAAAGGGAACATGTTACCATTTGTTAAAGTTCATGGCTTATGGATAAGTGAATATAGTAACCATTGCTTTCTTCTTTTGCTGTCCTTCGTAGTTATTGATTCTGCAGAACTGCAGGCGTATCCAGCACTCGTGGTGGAGAAAATGTTGAAAGCTTTAAAATTAAATTCCAATGAAGCCAGATTGAGGTTTCCTAGATTACTTCAGATTATAGAACGGTATCCAGAGGAGACCTTGAGCCTCATGACAAAAGAGGTTGGTGTCTTTATTCTACTTAGCGGTAAGGAACTTTACAGAACTTAAATATATGCTTATTTATATCTAAAGGCATTAGTGTGTGCAGTGCCTGTATTATAGCTTTTCCCAGCCAGCAGTGAATTCTGCTACCTTCTGAGGACACAGGTAATTTAAAGCTACATAAATGAGTTTTCACATTTACCCATTTTCCTCTGTTGGTGTTGATAAGAACACTGTGTCTGAACAGGGACCCAGAGAAATGGAGGCAGGGTGTGTGGGATAGTGATAGAATCTTGTGTGGAAGCTTGTTGCCCGTGCAGATGAGGCTGTGGTCAGTCACATCTGCTGTGCCCAACGCTCACCTGTCATTTAGCCCAGAGAGAGTGAGCAAGGTTCAGCTTGCATCCCACCTCCCAGGAGCACAGCACGTGCCAGCAGCATGGTGTCCAGATGGGTCTGGGGCATGTGAGCATGAGTGAGGGGTCAGTCTGTAGGTGTGGGAGGAACCCATACCTCTCCATGTGACCTGCCCCTTGGCCCTGCCCAGGGCTGCACTGGCAGCTGCAGTTCTGTCCTTTGGGCCGTCTGTGTGCAGGAGGGCTCCACTGACTTCATCTGTAAAGTGTAGGGCCTCTGAAAGTCTTCATAGTTGACTTGTAGAGATGTGTACCTGGAAGATACGGCCAAGTTTGAGTTGAAATGTAATAGTTCAGAAAGGGTTACATGGTTCGCTCTTTATTAGCTTTGCATGGTGCGTTTTTAAATAATGTTGGTCTCTGGGCTGTGGGGACCCAGTTTGACTTTTAGGGCCCTAACCACTCCCTCCACGTTTTTGTGGATTCTGAATAGTAGACTTTCTCAGTAAATTCAGAAATGCAACATGTCTGAGTTTTTCTTCAAGATATGTGAGCAGATAATTAAATAATTTTATTATGATTTTGTTTTTTTTCCAAAATAATATAATATTTATATATAATAAAAACAGCATTTGAATTTGTGAGGACATAAACTATTAACTCTGTGTTGTCAAGACACCCAGTAGACATGTGCAGTGGAGCTGGTAGCCTCTCTCGTGAGCTTATATGAGCTGTGTGGACTGAGCCATCCTCACACGCCATGCCGTCCTCAGCGCACACATGCAGTCAGGAAGCCTGCCCACACTTCACACCTCATACTTTATGCCAGCATTCCAAACACATCAAGTTTTAGCTACAGAATTACACCTTAAAAGTGTCAGAGGAAAATGTGAACACGTTTTTAAAATGCTCTTGGAACGAAGAGACCAGAACCAGAATCCATGAAGGAAAATAGTTTGACACTTCTATACAGAAAAAGAAAATACTGTATACGCAATTTAAAAAAATAAATAAAGGGCCAGGCACAATGGCTCAGGCCTGTAATGTCAGCACTATGGGAGTCTGAGGCAGGCGGATCATGAGATCAGGAGATCACCAGCCTGGCCAAACATGGTTAAACCCCATCTCTACTAAAAATTCAGAAATTAGCCGGACATGGTGGGTGCCTGTAATCCCAGCTACTTGGGAGGCTGAGGCAGGAGAACTGCTTGAACCCAGGAGGCGGAGGTTGCAATGAGCCAAGATTGTGCCACTGCACTTCAGTGTGGGAGACAGAGTGAGACTCCATCTCAAAAAAAAAAAAAAAAAAAAAAAAAACAAAGAAAAAGAAAAATATTTGCAACACATCAAGAAACAGAAAGCTGACATTGACAATCTACAAAATAAATGGTCACAATAGACCAGTAGAAAATGTATTCAATTTCACTAATAATGAACGTTGAAAATTTAAATTAGATGTTTTTCACTTCTCAGATTGATAGTGATTTTTAAAGTTGATTATGTCCAGTGTTGGTAAAGACTTCGGAAAGTAGTCAATCTAATATTTTCAGAAACGAAAATTTGAAAATGTTTATTACAATTTTTAAGGTTCACACTGTAATTTTAGTTCTAGGAATTTATTCTACAGGTATATAGCACAAAGAGTTGTATGTACAGGGATGTCTACTGCAACATTACCTGTAATAGCAAAAAAGTGGAAAAATCCTAAGTATCCATTATAGAGCAGTAGTTAAAACAACATGGAATACAGCTGGCAAGAAGAATAAGGTAAAAGACTTTTCTCTACATCTGTCTAAGAACAGCCAGCAGCAGCTGTCTCATGTGGTTCCATTCTTGAACAAAAGGCTGTGCGTGCACCTACACAGAAAGTGCCTGGGAGAGTCCAGTGGTTGCCGCAGCAGAAGACAGCTGAGGGTTGGAAGACTGGTTTTATACTTCTGCTGAGTTTTCTTTATGTTGGACATAGGTTACTTTTATAACAGACGATGTGAGATGTTTTACTCGGCATTAAGTTTCAGCTCTCTATTTTAGATGTCTTCCGTTCCCTGCTGGCAGTTTATCGGCTGGATCAGCCACATGGTGGCCTTACTGGACAAAGACCAAGCCATTGCTGTTCAGCACACCGTGGAAGAAATCACCGATAACTACCCGCAGGCTATTATTTATCCCTTCATCATAAGCAGCGAAAGCTATTCCTTCAAGGATACTTCTGCTGGTCATAAGAATAAGGAGTTTGTGGCAAGGTAATATTACAGAAAGGTTTATCAAATACTGTAGGTTATAAAAGTGTGGTTAAAGCAAACACGTGGACACTGATGTTTGTTTTCAAATTAATTACAGTTGTCATTGAAGAATAGAAAAATCTTAGCCGTCCCTTTGTTGAATATACCTACCCTGGGTATGTTACTTGTTACAAGATATATCTCCTTTTTAGAATACTTTCATCTTACACTGCTAACAGAACATCCTACTCATATGCTTATCTGTTGCTTGAGATAGACTAGTTGAGATGCTTTTTGAAATCAGCTCCTGAAATTGTCCTGTAATTTAAAATACACAGAAAGACTCCTCCTTTTAATTAGGACTCAGTAGACAGCCTGAAGTGTCCTCCTGTCCACTCCTAAGTGGATTTATGAGTTGAGACTGATAAGCGAGCAGTAGCGCCTATTGCAGGGATGCTTTGTAAATGTGTAGTATTTTAGTAACAGTCTCCATCATGAGGTTTTTTTTTTTTTTTTAAATTATGAGCAGATCTGCCTCATTACTTTGAATGTTTTGATTTCAACAAGATGAAGAAGAGTGTCCCCTTTTTAAAAAACATATATATTTTATTTTTATTTATTTACATATTTATTTTTTGAGACAGAATATTGCTCTGTCAGCCAGGCTGGAGCACAGTGGTGCAATCTTGGCTCACTGCAACTTCCGCCGCCTGGGTTTAAGCAATTCTCCCTGCCTCAGCCTCCCAAATAGCTGGGATTACAAGCATGTGCCACCATGCTCGGCTAATTTTTGTATTTTTAGTGGAGTCGGTTTTGCCACGTTGACCAGGCTGGTCTCGAACTCCCGACCTCAGGTGTTCTGCCTACCTTGGCCTCCCAAAGTGTTGGGATTACAGGTGTGAGCCACCACACCCAGCCAAGGCCCAGCTTCTGTTGCGGTTGGTGGGTGGTTTGTCTGTGAACACATCCCTGCCTGCCCACCATACCATTTCTCTGAACAGACAATTATCTTAAAAAATGAAAGAAGAGAAAAAGATGTGAAAGACAGTGTGTCAAGAAAGTCACCTTGCTGGGCATGGTGGTTTATGCCTATAATACCAACTATTTGGAGGGCCAAGGCAGGAGAATCACTTGAGACCAAGAGTTTATTACCAGCCTGGGCAACATAGTGAGACCTCATCTCTAAAAAATTAAAATAAAAATAAGCCAGGCATGGTGGTGCATGACTGTACTTCCAACTACTTAGGAGTGTGAGGTGGGAGGATTGCTTGAGTCCAGGTATTCAAGGCTGCAATGAGCTATGACTGAACTTGTAAGTTGCCACTGCACTCCAATCTGAGCAATGTAGTGAAACCCCATTTTTTAAAAAAGTGACCTTTTCTTTCATAACATAACTTCAGAAACGATAAGTTATACCAAAATGTCAACATCAGTTGCAAGATTTGCTTTTATCTAAGAACATCTTTTTCATTTTAATTTTTATGAGTACATAGTAGGTGTCTGTGTTTATGGAATATTTTGATACAGGTATACAATGTGTAACAATCATATCAGGGTAAGTGGAGTATCCATCACTTCAAGCATTTATCATTTCTTTGTGTTACAAATATTCTAGTTATACTCTTTTAGTTAATTTTAAATGTACAATAAAAATTACTTACTGTAGTCATCCTGTTGTACCACCAAATACTAGATCATTTGTACCCATTAATAAATGGGTACAGACCGGGCGTGGTGGCTCACGCCTGTAACCCCAGCACTTTGGGAGGCCAAGGCGGGCGGATCATGAGGTCAAGAGATTGAGACCATCCTGGCCAACATGGTGAAACCCCATCTCTACTAAAAATACAAAAATAATTAGCTGGGCATGGTGGTGTGTGCCTGTAGTCCCAGCTACCCTGGAGGCTGAGGCAGGAGAATTGCTTGAACCCGGGAGGCAGAGGTTGCAGTGAGCCGAGATTGTGCCACTGCACTCCAGCCTGGCAGCTGGCAACAGAGCGAGACTCTGTCTCAAAAAAAAAAAAAAAAAAAAAATCAATGGTACAATGGGTAATCAATTAATCAATATTTTTGTACCCATTAATCATCCCCACTTTCCACCTCACCTCCCCATGAGTTCAATTGTTCTCATTTTTAGCTTCTACAAATGAGTAAGAACATGTGAAGTTTGTCTTTCTGTGTCTGACTTATTTCACATAACATAATGTCCTTCAGTTCCATCCATGTTGTTGCAAGTGACAGGATCTCATTCTTTTTTATGGCTGAATAGTACTCCATTGCATGTATGTACTGTATTTTCTTTATCCATTTGTCTGTTGATGGACACTTAGTTTGCTTCCAAATCTTGGCTGTTTTGAATAGTGCTACAATAAACATGGGAATGCAGCTATCTCTGACATACTGATTTCCTTTCTTTTGGGTGTGTACCCAGCAGTGGGATTCCTGGATCATATGACAGTTCTAGTTTTAGTTTTTTTTAGGAATCTCCATATTGTTCTTCTTAGTGCTTGTATTAGTTTACATTTCCACCAACAGTATTCAAGGGTTCCTCTCTCCACATCCTTGCCAGCGTTCATTATTGCTGGGGGTGAGAAGTTACCTCCTTGTGATTTTAATTTGTATTTCTCTGATGATAATTGATGTGGAACATGTTTTTATAAACCTGTTTGCTATTTGTATGTTTTCTTTTGAAAAATGTCTATTCAGATCTTTTGCCCCAATTTAAAATGAGATTCGATTTTTTTTTCCTATTGAGTTTTTTGAGCTTGTTATATATTTTGGTTATTAATCCCTTGTCAGATAGGTAGTAGTATTCAAATGTTTTCTCCCATTCTGTGGGTTGTCTCTTCACTTTATTGATTGTTTCCTTTGCTGTAGAAGCTTTTTGACTTATTGTGATCCCCTTTGTCCATTTTTGCTTTGGTTGCATGTGCCTGTGAGGTATTTCTCAAGAAATCTTTGTGCCCAGATCTATGTCCTGGCGAGTTTCCTGTTGTTGTTTTTGTAGTTTCATAGCTTGAGATCTTAGATTTAAGCCTTTAATCCACTTTGATTTGACTTTTGTATGTGGCGAGAGATAGGGGCCTAGTTTCATTCTTCTGCATATGGATACCCAATTTTCCCAAGATCATTTATTGAAGACTCCTAGTTTTATTCTGCATATGGATACCCAGTTTTTCCAAGATCATTTATTGAAGACTGTACTTTCCCCTTATGTATGTTCTTCGCACCTTTGTCAAAAAATTGGTTCATTGAATGTTTGTGAATTTATTTCTGGGTTCTCTATTCTATTCCATTGGCTTACGTGTCTGTTTTTATGCCAGTGCCATGCTGTTTGGGTTACTATAACTCTGTAATATAATTTAAAGTTAGATAATGTGATTGTGCCAGTTTTATTCTTTTTGCTCAGGGTGGCTTTGGCCATTCTGGTTTTTTTGTGGTTCCATACAAATTTTGGGATTATTTTTTCTATGTCTGTAAAGAATGTCATTGGTCTTTGGTAAGGATTGTGTTGAATCTATAGATTGCTTTGGGTAGTATGGACATATTAATAGTATTGATTCTTCCCATCCATGAACATGAAGTTACTTTGCATATTTTTGAGTCCTTCAATTTCTTTCATTAATGTTTTACAGTTTTCATTGTAGAGGTCTTTCATTTCTTTGGCTAAATTTATTCCTAAGTATTTTTATTTGTTGCTATTGTAAATAGAATTATTATTATTATTATTATTATTTGAGATGGAGTCTTGCTTTCTTGCCAGGCTGGAGTACAGTAGCGCAATCTTGGCTCACTGCAACCTCCATCTCCCAGGTTCAAGCGATTCCCCTGCCTCAGCATCCTGAGTAGCTGGGACTACAGGCATGTACCACCATGCCCGGCTAATTTTTTTTGTTTTAGTAGAGATGAGGTTTCACCATGGCCAGGATTATCTCGGTCTCCTGACCTCGTGATCCGCCTGCCTTGGCCTCCCAAAGTGCTGGTATTACAGGCATGAGCCACCGCGCCTGGCCGATAGAATTACTTTTATGATTTTTTTTTTTAGGCTGTTCACTGTTGGCATATAGAAATACTACTGATTTTTGTATGTTAATTTTTGTATTCTGCAACTTGACTGAATTTATCAGTTCTGATGGTGTTTTTGGTGGAGTCTTTAGGTGTCTCCAAATAAGAGATTGTGTCATTTGCAAGCAAGGATAATTTGACTTCTTCCTTTCTAATAAAGATACCCTTTATTTCTTTCTCTTGTCAGCTTGCTATAGCTAAGACTCCCATTAGTATGTGGAATAAAAGTGGTCATCCTTATCATGTTCCAGATCTTAGAGAAAAAAGGCTTTCATTTTTTTTTGAGACGAAGTCTCCCTCTGTCACCTAGGCTAGAGGGCAGGGGTGCGATCTCTGCTCACTGCAAGCTCCACCTCCTGGGTTCAAGCAATTTTCCTGCCTCAGTCTCCTTAGAAGCTGGGATTACAGGTGTGCGCCACTATACCCAGCTAATTTTATGTTTTTAGTAGGGACGGGGTTTCACCATGTTGGCCAGGATGATCTCAATCTCTTGACCTAATGATCTGCCTGCCTCGGTCTCCCAAACTGCTGGGACCACAGGCGTGAACCACTGTACCCGGCTGGCTTTCAGTTTTTCACTGTTGGGTATGATACTAACTGTGGGTGTGTAGTATATGGGCTTTTATTGTGTTGAGGTATGTTCCTTCTATACCCAGTTTTTTTGAGAGTTTTTATCATGAAGGGACGTTGAATTTTATCAAATGTTTTTCAACATCAGTTAAAATGATCAATGGTTTTTATCCTTTATTCTGTTGATAAAGCATATCACATTGATTGATTTGTGTATGTTGATCCATCCTTGCATTTCTAGAATAGATCCCACTTGGTCATGATGAATAATCTTTTTAATATCTTGTTAAATTTGGTTTGCAAGTATTTTGTTGAGGATTTTTGCATTAATGTTCATCAGGGATATTGGCCTACAGTCCGTCCTCCTTCCCTTCCTTTTTTTTTTTTTTTTTTTTTTTTTTCTTTTTTTTAAGATGTGTCTTTGTCTGGTTTTGGTATCAGGATAATACTGGCCTTGTAGAATGAGTTTGGAAGTATTCCCTCATCCCCTGGTGTGTGTGTGGCTGGAATTTTAAATTACTATGTCGTTGGTTTTTTAATATATATACAAAATACGTATAAACAAACTATAGTTACATAATTATGTAAAGCATACATTATTTTATATATGTATAATAGGTCTTGATTTTTGAAAGATATTTGAGTACTTAAACTTTGTAAATTTTTTTTTTAATAGGATTAAAAGTAAGTTGGATCACGGAGGAGTGATTCAAGATTTTATTAATGCCTTAGATCAGCTCTCTAATCCTGAACTGCTCTTTAAGGTAATGATAGAACAGCTTCTGGCACATAAAACATAGAACTTGGGTAAAACTTAATTTCAATCTACCTTGACTTTTTTTTTTTTTCCCTGCACACACAGGACTGGAGCAATGATGTAAGAGCTGAACTAGCAAAAACCCCTGTAAATAAAAAAAACATTGAAAAAATGTATGAAAGAATGTATGCAACCTTGGGTGACCCAAAGGCTCCAGGCCTAGGGGCCTTTAGAAGGAAGTTTATTCAGGTATGGACTGGCACAGCCTGCCTTTATAATAGTAGAATCATTATGACAGTCAAATTTTATATTTTAATGATTTAACAGTTCTGGATTTAAAATACCTGTTGAATGTTTTAGATGTCATGCTTTCTATGATACACTGATAACATATTTTTACGTCTGCGGGTAGCAGGTTGGTCAGTAGATGAAACCTCGGTGTTTCATTACATGTTGTTTATGCCCAAATTTTTAGATCTGAAAATTACATGTAGTTTGATATTTTCAATTTTTCAAACGGCTTCAATACTGGATCAAGAAAATACTTGTTAAGTAAGCTGATAAATATTTTCAAGCACTTAGTTCGGGGCACAGCTCTGGGTGCTCAGGAAATACATGGAGAAGACAGATCTAGTCCCCAAATACCAAGGGGTTGTGTGACAAAACTGCTCACCAAGAGCTATGCCTAGGACAAATGTGGTAATTGTGAGATCTTTCAAGAATGTGCTGGAGTTGGAAGGAAAACACACCATCATTTGATGGGAATGATGGAGCAAGTAGACTGCAGTCCGCCCAGTTCCCACAGCTTTGCCCACTTGGGTGCTTCTCTCCCTCCTCCATCTGGAGACTTGCCCTTAGGGCTTGGCATCAGCATCATTTTTCCTTTGAGCCCTTCCTGTCCCTCCCCCAACAGTGATTTTCAGAAGAGTCAGGTGTTCTTCCTCTCTCTCCTGAAACACCTTGCTTTAGAATCTCTCTCTTTAGCATGCATCATTACTGATTTTTCTTTCTAATTTTTATCAAATTACCTTTATTCATTAAACCTCATGACATTTAAGGGCATAGATTAGTCTTGGAACTCTTTTTGCCAGAGTTCTCAAGTTCCACTGTGTATAGTGCAAAAGAAGTGCTTTATCCATTTTAAATAATTGCTTTATTAAGATACAAGTCCCTGGCCCATAGGTCATCCATTAAAAGTATACAATGCAGTAGTTTTTAGTACATTCACAGAGTCATGAAACCATCACCACATCAATTTTAGCACATTTCACCACAAAAAGAACTGATATCCATTAGCTGCACCGCCTCCACACAGCTTCCAGCCTAGTCTGTCCCAGCACACTGCTGCCTCAACCAGTCTGCACGTAGTCTCGGAATTCATGGCCAATTTGTTGTTGGAAGCCCTGAGACTGCCCTACAGGCTCTCCATAGGGAGTGCAGTTCTTCCCCCTCCAGTGGCACCTGGTCCTGCCGAGGCCTGTAGGGTACCGAAAGGCCTCCTGTATTCTTTCCAGGCAGGAGATGTGTTTGGAGTTCATTAGAAAATCTATCCAGAATTTTTACCTTGTACAGAATCAAAAATAACTTGGATTTATTCAAATAAAAATCTACCAAAAAAAAGTGCCTCAAATTTCACTTTAGAGTATGCTTAACGGCATTATGCCTTTCAGATAGGATGATGCTGGTTATGTTTGGAGAAGAGCTAATCTTTCCACGTAGTCCAAGAAATGCAGATTGCTTCTACGTTTTCCATCAGCTTAGAGATCAAAGAAGAAATCTGTTTTATATATGTCAATTTTCCTATAGTGGATTGTCTTAAAATAGAGCACATTTCATTTATACTAGATTTATGCTGTGGCATTAGTTATAAATTTGGTAAAAACATTTCTAATTAGAGATGATCAGGTAAATCTTGACTGTTGAGTAATTGCTATTAATGCTCTTGAGATTAATTTTTTATTTGATATCAGAATTGTAATTCAAATAAATATCTGAGTACAGGCTAATGCAAAGAGATAATTAATGTATTCCAAGATAAAGTACTTATAATAATTGCTTTTAGAAATAAACATTATTGGCCGGGTGCAGTGGCTCATGCCTGTAATCCCAGCACTTCTTGGGAGCCTGAGGCAGGTGGATCACGAGGTCAGGAATTCAAGACCAGTCTGGCCAACATGGTAAAACCCCATCACTACTGAAAATAGAAAAATTAGCCAGGCACGGTGGTACATGACTGTAATCCCAGCTACTTGGGAGGCTGAGGCAGGAGAATCGCTTGAACCGGGGAGGCAGAGGTTGCAGTGAGATAAGATTACGCCACCGCACTCCAGCCTGGGTGACAGAGCGAGACTCCATCTCAAAAAAAAAGAGAGAAATAAACGTTATCTAAATAATATTTTTATTGGTTTATAACCCAGAATAATAGCTTGAAAGACTCTTACAGAAGAAAGTAGCATTCTTAGATTTTTTTTCATCAGCTGGTATCAAAAATTATGAGCCATTTATTTCTATTGAACTATTCCCTTTATTTTGTTGTTTTTAACTTGCTCCTAGTTACTTATGTCATAATGATGTAGACCACTAACTAGACAATGAGCGCACAGAGGTTAAATGACTTCAAGCTTTTAAAGCCCTTGTTAGGATTTATAACTAAAAGTCACTACTAACCATGGTTTGTTTTTATTTTTGTTTTGAGACACAGTCTCGCTCTGTTGCCCAGGCTGGAGTGCAGTGGTGCGATCTCGGCTCACTGCAACTTCCACCTCCCGGGTTCAAGCGATTCTCCTGCCTCAGCCTCCCATGTAGCTGGGATTACAGGCATGAGCCACCACATCCAGCTAATTTTATGTAAAGTGGAAATGGGGCTTCACCATGTTAGCCAGGCTGATCTTGAACTCCTGAGCTCAAGTGATCTGCCTGCCTCGGCCTCCCAAAATGCTGGGATTACAGGCGTGAGCCAGCACACTCCACCAAAGTTATACATCTTAAAAGCAGAGAAGAAGCCTATATCATTGCTCACTCCAGTTAGTACACTTACAAGCTTAAGCCTTTTCCAAAGTCCAAACTAAACATCAGTCTTTATAGTAAGCTCTTGTTAATTTCAGACCTTTGGAAAAGAATTTGATAAACATTTTGGGAAAGGAGGGTCTAAGCTACCGAGAATGAAGCTCAGTGACTTCAACGACATTACCAACGTGCTGCTTTTAAAAATGAACAAAGACTCAAAGCCCCCTGGGAATCTGAAAGAATGGTCGCCCTGGATGAGCGACTTTAAAGTGGAGTTCCTGAGAAATGAGCTGGAGATTCCTGGTGAGTTCACCTCCAGGGGTGACAAAACTGTACTGTCAGGAGCACAGCACTGAAGTAAGAACTCTTGGTTTCTGGCCGGGCGCGGTGGCTCACGCCTGTAATCCCAGCACTTTGGGAGGCTGAGGCGGGTGGATCACGAGGTCAAGAGATCGAGACCATCCTGGTCAACATGGTGAAACCCCGTCTCTACTAAAAATACAAAAAATTAGCTGGGCATGGTGGCGCGTGCCTGTAATCCCAGCTACTCAGGAGGCTGAGGCAGGAGAATTGCCTGAACCCAGGAGGCGGAGGTTGCAGTGAGCCGAGATCACGCCATTGCACTCCAGCCTGGGTAACAAGAGCGAAACTCCGACTCAAAAAAAAAAAAAAAGAACTCTTGGTTTCTGGAATAGTGCCACTGGGATATGGACAGTTACCTCTTTTTTAAAAGAATTTTAAAATTCACCAAATTTTTCATCATTAAAAAATTCATGATTACTATGAGTACACATTACTAAATGTTTAATGAGGTTTTAGTTTTTATATTCCTGATCCTGACAAGTGTTCAGATTTTCGTTTGGTAATAATGGTAACCAGCGATCATAGATTTCCTCTGAACATATTCATGCTTTGCTCCTGAATTACTTTTCTTCAGAAACATAATACAGGTATAGATGCAGATTGCTTCCTGGGATGTGTACACAGTTCCACTTAAAGTGACAAGTTTTGTTTGTTTGTTTGTTTTTTATATTAATAAGTCACTTACCTGCAGGAAAAAAGATTGTGATATTAAGGATAGAGATGCACAGAAAATTGGCCAGAATTCAAGGCATGACTTTTCCAGAGGAAACCTGTGTACATTTCATTTTCTTTACCCCAAATTTGCCAGAGGAAAAAATGTTTTAATCTGGTTATTCATGTTCTCATTCCAGTGGGTATAAGAAAAAACATATTTGGAGAAACACTTTTCTTTGCTATTAATAATGACTGTGCGGTTGCATACAGTCCATTTCAAGAAAAACATTTAAACGTAAGCCTTGTCATGTGCAGCTTGACTTTCCTTGAGATATACGGTGTTTTAGTCGGTGTATTATTTTTTTCTATTTAGGATTTGTCCATGCTATTAAAATAGTGAGCTAACTTTCATTAATCAGTCAAGCTGAGAAATACCATTTTTTAATGTCCTCTAAATGAGAACTTCCCTCTAAATGAGAAGTTTCATTAAAAATTTTTATCATGTTAAATTGACTTTTTAAAAAGTAGATCAGGAGGCATGTTTTAAAATACAGGTGGTTGTCTAATAAGTTGTTCCTAAGCAAGGCTCTGGTTTGTTTTAGGTCAATATGACGGTAGGGGAAAGCCGTTGCCAGAGTACCATGTGCGAATCGCCGGTTTTGATGAGCGGGTAGGTGTGAAGGTGTGCAACCCAGTCCCCGTCCTGGTGATTGTCCTTCAGATACGAGAATGATCTGTTTGCCTTTAGTAAAAAAGAGACAACGGCCCATGTTGATTTCAAATATATGGGGTTTACCATATTTACTGAATACGTGTGTGTGTGTGTGTGTGTGTGTGTGTGTGTTAAGAGCCTTTGTGTGTGTGTGTGTGTGTGTGTGTGTGTGTTAAGAGCCTTACTCTGTCACCCAGGCTGGAGTACAGTAGCGCAATATCAGCTCATTGCCTCCACATCCTGGGTTCAGGAGAGTCTTCATGCCTCAACCTCCCAAGTAGCTGGGATTACAGGTGTGTGCCACCACACCTGGCTAATTTTTGTATTTTTATTAGAGACGGGTTTCACCACGTTGGCCAGTGGCCAGGCTGGTCTGGAACTCCTGCCTGCAAGTGATCTACCCGCCTCGGCCTCCCAAAATGTTGGGATTAACAGGCATGAGCCACCATGCCCAGCCCTGAATTTCTTTTTTCTTTTATATATATGTGTGTGTGTGTGTGTGTGTGTGTGTATTTTACTGCATTTTAGGTTCTGGGGTACATGTAAAGAACATTTCTTAATATAATGTCTCCAATGTTTGAACAGTAGTCCTATTTAAGATGTCATAAATTCAAAGAGTAAGCTGTGTGTGAGTGTCCACTATAATGGACATATATACATACACACACACACACACACACACGTGTGTGTGTGTGTGTGTGTGTGTGTGTGTGTGTGTAGCATAGCTTACTGTAGAAAGTTTACGTGCTGGCTATTGCTGGTTGCTAAGGATATCCACATTCATATTTATGTGGTTATTAAGTATTTATAACCAGGAATATGACATTTCTGCAGGCACAGCAGTCAGGCACGTGCAGGTAGCAGAAATTAATTGCTGGGCTCGGTGCTGTGCTCCTCTCTGGCACTGTCTTTAGAAGGTGGCCCCTCAGAGGAATGCTTGCAGCCAGCCTGGCTTTTCCCTCTGAGTTTGACAAGCGGCTAGCCTGTGCCGTGAGGTGACATTCTGATTTTTGAAGGTGACAGTCATGGCGTCTATGAGAAGGCCCAAGCGCATCATCATCCGTGGCCACGATGAGACGGAGCACCCTTTCCTAGTGAAGGGTGGCGAGGACCTACGGCAGGACCAGCGCGTAGAGCAGCTCTTCCAGGTCATGAATGGGATTCTGGCCAGAGACTCTGCCTGCAGCCAGAGGGCCCTGCAGCTGAGGACCTACAGCGTGGTGCCCATGACCTCCAGGTAACTGCCAGGCTACTCCCAGCCAGGAGGGTGCTGCACGTTGCTTGGCGTCCACGGGACTGTTTTTCTAGTGAAGAAAGAGCAGTTTGGGTTTACTCGTTAACTTTTTATTCTCCCTTTCAGGTTAGGATTAATTGAGTGGCTTGAAAATACTGTTACCTTGAAGGACCTTCTTTTGAACACCATGTCACAAGAGGAGAAGGCGGCTTACCTGAGGTAAGGGCGGCCACACGCCCTGCTCCCCCAGCAGTCGCCTCCCCTCACTTCTCCAGTGGCAGGTCGGGGCCATGACAGGCGCGGTCGAGAGCCCACGCTGCCTGCCCCGAAGTCTGCTGGCTGGGTCAGTAAACCAAACGGAGTGCAGGCTGCTAACCAGTAGTTGCAGATATTTTACCATAATACAAAATATATATTAACTTTGGGGGGCGGGTGAAAAATTGTGGAAGGAAATAAATAATAATAAGATAAGCAGATAACGTAGTAAAACATTTTCTGTGGGCTAGGTACTGTTCTCAGTTTTTAAAGTGTATGAACTAATTCTCATCAACGACCTACAAGGTAAGTGTTATTATCACTTCTGTACAGATGAGTACCCTGAGGCCCAGAAAGGTCAAGTAACTTGTCCTGTGTCACCCAGCCTATAAAGTGGGGTAGCTGGGATTATTAGCAATTAATTCTAGGTTATGATATGGATGCTTTTTTATTTTTCTTTATCCTTTTCTCAGTTTTCCAAGTTTTCTACAATTAACTTATATTTTTTAACCAGAAGTTTTTTTATTTACCTTTTATTTATGTAAAGAAAAATAAGGGCCGGGCGCGGTGGCTCACGCCTATAATCCTAGCACTTAGGGAGGCCACGGCGGGTGGATCACGAGGTCAAGAGATCGAGGCCATCCTGGTCAACATGGTGAAACCCTGTCTCTACTAAAAATACAGAAAATTAGTGGGACATGGTGGCGCACGCCTGTAGTCCCAGCTACTCGGGGGAGGCTGAGGCAGGAGAATTGCTTGAACCCAGGAAGCGGAGGCAGCCTGAGTAACAAGAATGAAACTCTGTCTCAAAAAAAAAAAAGTGAAAAATAAGGACAACATGAGAAGCATTTTGAGTGTTGACAGGTTTTGATAACCAGAGTTGACAGGTTTTGGTGATGAGCTATGGGATGAAGGAAGACCACATGGTCAGAAACAGCTTCGGGGCTTCTTTCTCTTTTATGTCCTCTCATTCTTTCCTGAAAGTATTTAAATAGGCATTTGAGTATTTGCTTAGAATTGTTTCTACTTTCCCTGGAAGAAAGGGGAACTGATGACCGCTGCTTCCTGGAGTCTCACAAATTCCAGATCTGGTCCTGGCAGTGGAGATGCTGAGCAGGTGTTGCCTGTCTTATGGTACCTGCCTGCATTTGTGGGACAGGATGGTAGCATGGAACTGCACAAGGTGAACATAGGTACTGGAAGAGCCGAAAGCGCCTTTTCAGATATGGAATTATGCAAATAACTTCCGACTGCCTTTTTACAGGGCACTTCCGATACTCATTATTAAAATACTTGGTATTTTTTTCTTAATTCAGCATGTTTCAGTTTTATGACCTAAGAATTTTCATCTCAGTTTAGGAGGAGAGAATTTTAAGATGGACTGGACTACTTATGAAATTAACTTCTGTGGCAACTCAGAAAAGATTTCACCTGAAGTGATTGCATTGCTAAGTCACATGTGAAACTGTTCTGTCTTTAGACTTTATTGGGAAAACTTGTTAAAGCTATCCACACAAAAGTACCTAAACATATCCATATCACATTGTTTCCCACCGCCCAGGAACCACCTTTTTTCTAGGAAACATTGAAAACAGCTTTTCAATTCACTTTAAGCATCCATTGTCATTTAAGAAAATACTTTTGGCTGGGCGCAGTGGCTCACACCTATAATCCCAGCACTTTGGGAGGCCAAGCAGGGTGATCAAGAGATCAAGACCATCCTGGTCAACATGGTGAAACCCCGTCTCTACTAAAAACAAAAAAAATTAACTGGGCATGGTGGCGCATGCCTGTAGTCCCAGCTACATGGGCGGCTGAGGCAGGAGAATTGCTTGAACCGAGGAGGCGGAAGTTGCAGTGAGCCAAGATCACGCGATTGCATTTCAGCCTGGGTAAAGAGCGAAACTCCGTCTCAAAAAAAAAAAAAAGAAAGAAAGAAAATACTTTTTCATAGGAGTGCAGAAGGCTTATTGGAGGAAAAAGAAAAAAAATTTTCTCATACTTACTGTGGTTTGTGTGTCTATCTACATATTGGAAATGTGAAGAAAGATGTGGCACTGGCTGGGTATGGTGGCTCATGCCTACAATCTCAGCACTTTGGGAGGCTGAGGTGGGCTGATCACCCGAGGTCAGGAATTTGAGACCAGTTTGGCCAACATAGTGAAATTCGGTCTCTACTGAAAATACAAAAGTTAGCTGGGCATGGTGACAGGCACCTACAATCCCAGCTGCTTAGGAGGCGTGAGGCTTGAGAATTGCTTAAACCTAGGAGGTGGAGGTTGCAGTAAGCTGATATCACTTCACTGCAATCCAACTTGAACAACAGAGTAAGACTCTGTCTCCAAAAGAAAAGAAAAAGATGTGGCAGTGGTCTAAATAAGGATAAAAACAGACATAATCCATCATCAGCAAAACTGCACGGGTTTGTTTGTTTGTTTTGAGATGGAGTCTCACTTTATCATCAGCCTGGAATGCAGTGGTGTGATCTCGGCTCACTGCAACCTCCAGCTCCCAGATTCAAGCAATTCTGCCTCAGGCTCCCAAGTAGTTGGGACTACAGGCGCGTGCCACCACGCAGGCTAATTTTTTATATTTGTAGTAGAGGGTTTCATCAAGTTAGCCAGGATGGTGTCTATCTCCTGACCTTGTGATCTGCCCGCCTTGGCCTCCCAAAGTGCTTGGATTACAGGCGTGAGCACCATGCCCGGCCTGTGTGGGCTTTTTGGCTGTGGTAGTGACACGGTCTGATGTGTCCTGCGGCGTGGTGCTGTTGCCCTCTTGCTATGCTTCTTTCTAGGTCAGAGTTTCAAAATTGCATGTCTGCTTAATAACTAGTTATGTTTAGTTCATCTTATTGTCTATATGAAGTGGGAAATTTATTGGATCTGATGGTTTTGTACCTAAATTTTTCATAGGAAATAGCTTGGATTTCTTTAGGAATAATTAAGAATGAATAATGGTATACTGAAATCCAAGATCCAGAGTAATACGGGTTCAGTGTTAATATTGAATATGATTAAAAGTCATATTTTTTCCTGCCTCTTCACTATTTTTCAGTGAATTATTGATGAGCTTTGCCTTTGAAATCACATAATGCTAAAATCTTCCTAATTCCAATTTCTCTTCTCACTCATTAGTGATCCCAAGTCACCACCATGTGAATATAGAGACTGGCTGACAAAAATGTCAGGAAAACATGATGTTGGAGCTTACATGCTAATGTATAAGTAAGTTTGGTTTTGATTTTCATTTGTTTTATTTATTTATTTTTATTTAAGGGCACTAATCTGCCATTTTTTTCTTTTTATTTGTGTATTATTTCATTCTTCAAGTTGCATGTTTTCTTTCGATTCTTAGAAAGCTTTGCCTCAGAGAGATCATCAAGATCTAGTTATTTGATATTTGAGTCTCAATATAAAAAATAGTTTTAAAATTTAAATTTCAAGTCACGAGAAAATTTTTCTAATTAGATGTTTCTATTATTAAATCATAGGGGAGCTAATCGTACTGAAACAGTCACGTCTTTTAGAAAACGAGAAAGTAAAGTGCCTGCCGATCTCTTAAAGTAAGTACCCTTCTGCCCTCACCCTTAGCGGGGTCACAGCAGCTGCACAGCCGTGTCTCTCTTGCAGGCGGGCCTTCGTGAGGATGAGTACAAGCCCCGAGGCCTTCCTGGCACTCCGCTCCCACTTCGCCAGCTCTCACGCTCTAATATGCATCAGCCACTGGATCCTCGGCATCGGAGACAGACACCTGAACAACTTTATGGTGGCCATGGAGACCGGCGGCATGATCGGGATAGACTTTGGTCATGCGTTTGGATCTGCTACGCAGGTGCGCTCGCCATGCTCTCATGGTCCTGGGCTAGGCGAGTCAGGACTTTCAACACCCTCCAGAAATAGACCGTTTTTAAAGAAAAACAACACGTTAGGTTGGTTTTCTCATGGCCATTGAATGCAGAAAGGGATAATCCCTGCGTTCAGCCTCGTTCAGACATGTCACAGAAGTCATGGTGATCAGTGACATCATCAGAGCTAGGAGTAGAATGTGTTCCCAGATCAAAGAAAGACTCTAAGGAAGTTTTATGAAGCCCCATAATAAAAATGTCTTGTACAAAATGTGATACAGATCCTTTCTCTGGTCAACCTCTGAATGTTTTGAATCATCCTCAATCTCTGTGGCTTTCTATCCTGCGCATGTGGGTTTGGCAGTGAGGTGGTTGCTGTGGAGCACAAGAACTCACATCTATGTGTCTGATTTCAAGTATACTGTTACTAAATGTGAACAGTAACTGTGAGAGGATGCTGTTTGTGCTCCGTACTTTGAGAGTTCCAGCTTACATATTCTGCTGCTTGCTTTTTTTCTTGTTTAGTTTCTGCCGGTTCCCGAGTTGATGCCTTTTCGGCTAACTCGCCAGTTTATCAATCTGATGTTACCAATGAAAGAAATGGGCCTTATGTACAGTGTCATGGTACACGCGCTCCGGGCCTTCCGCTCAGACCCTGGCCTGCTCACCAACACCATGGATGTGTTTGTCAAGGATCCCTCCTTTGACTGGAAAGTAGGTTTTGTTTCATGTGCACTTTTCACTTTTGTGACAGTGTCCCCATGATCAAACTGCTGTCTCCCGTGCATGATAGAAATGCATTCAGTTGTGTTGATGAAAATATTTACATTGTTTTGTACAGCATATCTCAAAGTTAGTATTTAGCATTGTCTGGCTTGGAAACCAGTTAAGATTGCTGGCTCACACCTGCAATCCCAAAACTTTGGGAGGCAGAGGCAGGAGGATCACCTGAGGTCAGGAGGTGGAGACCAGCCTGGCCAATGTGGTGAAAGCCCATGTCTACTAAAAATGCAGAAATTAGCTGGGTGCACACCTATAATCCCAGCAACTTGAAAAGCTGAGGCAGGAGAATGGCTTGAAACCAGGAGGCAGAGGTTGCAGTGAACCAAGATCACGCGACTGCACCCCAGCCTGGGCGACAAAAGAGAGACTCTGCCTCAAAAAAGAAAGGAAAAGGAAAAAAAAAAACAGTTAAGAGGCAAAAACCTTTATTTGGAAAAATAAGCGCCCCATTGAAGCCTCTCTTCTTGTGATGTGTGCACTGTGCAGTCCATATGAACAGCTTTGTAGCTGTGGACAGGAAAGCAAGGCTGCTCCCGGTTATAGATGTTTGTTTGCGTTAAGATCATTACTAGATTTAATCTGTTTGAACATGAGTGTATGTACCATTATAATAAGCAGGGAAAATCATATTCTTTTCTTTTAGAATTTTGAACAAAAAATGCTGAAAAAAGGAGGATCATGGATTCAAGAAATAAACGTTACTGAAAAAAATTGGTATCCCCGACAGAAAATATGTTATGCTAAGAGAAAGTTAGCAGGTGCCAATCCAGCAGTCATTACTTGGTAAGATTTTTATATGTGGAAAAAACTAACGGACTACCAACATGCCACTGTTTCTCGAAGAACCAACATATGTACAAAGTGCTGAGCACTTGATATTCTGTTAGCATGACTTCTCTCCTGTCAGTGAGGAACAAAGCCATGCTTAGAGAGGCTGACTTCTCCAGAGCCAGAGCGAGGCCTGCAACGTGACCCCTGCACTGTCTTCAGGCACACTCAGTCCCTGGAACAGTGGTGCCAATAGAAGAAACAGAAGGTGCCCTCCTAGACAGTTGTCATAATACTGTTACATACATGATGAGACTTAGGTTTTAAATTTGCTTTTGTACTTTTTAGAGCATTTGACCCTGATGGACATAGTTCCTAGGTGGGAAAAGCATGGTGTGGGCTTGTTAGATGAGAATCCAGTTTGGTTTGGCTTTTGGGTTAGCTTTAAAATTCTTGTTGAGGTCTAAAGCAAATAGAAATTTGTGGAGATGATTCATAGGAAGGAAAAAAGTTGGACTTTAGAATTAAGTAATAGTAAGTGGCAATCTATTGTCAACTTATTTTTGACAAGGGTGCCAAGACCATTCAGTGACCTTTCCAACAAATAGCGCAGGCAAAACAGTGAAGTTGGGTTTCTATTTCAAACCATATGCAAAAATTAATTCAAAGTGGATCAAAGAGCTAAATGTCAAAACTATAAAACACTTAGAAAAAGGAGTAAATTGGCCAGGTGTGGTGGATCACTTGAGGTCAAGAGGTCGAGACCACTCTGGCCATCATGGTGAAACCCCATCTCTACTAAAAACACAAAAATGAGCCGGGCATGGTGGCGCACGCCTGTAATCCCAGCTAGTAGGGAGGCTGAGGCAGGAGAATCACTTAAACCCAGGGAGGTGGAGGTTGCAGTGAGCCGAGATTGTGCCACTGCACTCCAGCCTGGGCAACAGAGCAAGACCCTGTCTCAAAAAAAAAAAAAAAAGGTCAAAAGACTTGAACTGACATTTCTCTAATGAAAATATACAAATGGCCAATAGGCACATCAAAAAATGCTCAACATCACTAGTCATCAGGGAAATCCAAGTGAAATACTGCTATACAACGGTTAGGATGGCTTTTGTTTGTTAATTTTTATTTTATTTATTTATTGGTTTTGAGTCGAAGTCTTGCTCTGTCACCCAGGATGTAGTGCAATGGCATGATCTCAGCACACTGCAACCTCTACCTTCTGGGTTCAAACAATTCTCCTGTCTCAGTCTCCCAAGTAGCTGGGATTACAGGTGCATGCTACCATGCCTGGCTAATTTTTGTATTTTTAGTAGAGATGGGGTTTCACCATGTTGGCCAGGCTGGTCTCAAACTGTTGACCTCAGGTGATCCACCCACCTTGGCCTCCCAGAGTGCTGGGATTATAGGTGTGAGCCACCGCGCCTGGCCAGGTGGCTATAATTTTAAAATGGGGCTGGATGCAAAGGCTCACACCTGTAATCCCAAGCACCTGGGAGGCCAAGACAGGAGGATTGCTAGAGCCCAGGAGTTCAAGTTTAGCCTGGGCAACATAGCAAGACCCTGTCTCTACCAAAAATTATTAAAACTTTTCCAAATTTTTTTAAAAAAGGAATCTTAACAAAGTGTTGAGGTTGCAGAGAAGGTCGACTCCTCAAACTCTGCTGGTGGGAATGGAAAAGGGTGCGGCTGCTGTGGGAAAGTGGCAGTTCTTCACAAAGTGAGACATAGAGTTACCATGGGACCCAGCAGTGCCGCTGCTAGGTGAATCCTAGGAATTCATCCATGAGAAGTGAGGCTGTACCTTCACACAGAAACTTGAACAGCATAATTCATGTTCTGTTTTCCTATAAATCCAGTCTTTGACTGCAAGGTTATAAGGCACAAAAAATACTCTGTGATTGATAAGGTAGGGAATGGGTTTATATGTTCACTGGGAATATAAACAACAAAGGAAAGTAACACATGGTTGGTGTATTTGTGTTTGTTCCATCTTTTTCCAGTGATGAGCTGCTTCTGGGCCACGAGAGGGCACCTGCCTTCAGAGACTATGTGGCTGTGGCACGAGGAAGCAAAGATCACAACGTTCGTGCCCGAGAACCAGAGCGTGGGCTTTCAGAAGAGACTCAAGTGAAGTGCTTGATGGACCAGGCAACAGACCCCAACATCCTTGGCAGAACCTGGGAAGGATGGGAGCCCTGGATGTGAGGTCTGTGGGAGTCTGCACATATAAAGCGTTACATTGCTTAAAGAATCTCCTATACTTTCATTGGCAGCAGTCCCTGAGCTGATTTTCCTGAAGCACTATAAGAGAAGAAATCTGTTTTTGTGCTACAGTTTTGTAGCATGAGTTTAAACAAGATTATGATGAGTAAATGTATATGGGTTAAATCAAAGATAAGGTTACAGTAACATCAAAGATTAGGTGAGGGTTATAGAAAGATATATATCCAGGCTTACCAAAGTATTAAGTCAAGAATGTAGTATCTGATCAGCTTTCAGAGCATTTACAAGTGCTGAAAGTTAGTGAAACAGCGGTATGCATAAACGGAGGAAACATGGGGAAGCCTCGGAATGCCCTTCTGGTTCTGGCACATTGAAAGCACACCCAGAAGGCTTCATCACCAAGATTTGGGGAGAGTAAAGGTAACAGTATAGTTGATGTAACATTGTAGAAGCAGTGTAGGAACAATAAGAACAATAGGTAAAGCTATACTTATGGCTTATTATATTTAGAAATGACTGCATTTGATATTTTAGGATATTTTTCTAGGTTTTTTCCTTTCATTTTATTCTCTTCTAGTTTTGACATTTTATGATAGATTTGCTGTCTAGAAGGGAACGTCTTTGTTTAGGAGGGTAAAAACTTTGTTCTTAGCATTCACTTTTGCTATTCCGATCTACAACTGGAAGATACATAAAAGTGCGTTGTATTGCAAATTTGGGATAACTTCAGAAATCCCAAGGTTGGTGTTAGGGAGAGCCCTAAGCATTTCAGATCCAGGAGCATGAAAGAAATCCCTATTTGAAATGAGTTCCTCATTTGGATAAAAGAAAGCATGCATTCTGGCACAACAAGATCAAATTATGAAGTCCAAAAGTGGCTCCTTCCATGTGCTGTCCATGTCCCCCCTCCAGGCCTGTACTCCTGAACTCGTTTCTGGTTGGCTTTAGCTTTTCGTTGTTGTTGTTTTTTCCTTCTAACACTTGTATTTGGAAACCCTTCTGTGATTTTGAGAAGTAATAATCTTGAGTGTTTAATAAAGTTTTTTTCCAAAAGTAATGTGTATCTCTTTTCTGTAGTTTCAAGAGCAAAATATTCACCTTACAAACTAGTTCATTCTATTACTTGCCTAGTTTATTTTGATAAATGCAGGTTAGGCACATCATGGCATTTAAAATAAACATCTATGGCCAAGCACGTTGGCTCACGCCTGTAATCCAAGCGCTTTGGAAGGCCAAGCGGGAGGATTGCTTGAATTCCTTGAGCCCAGGAGTTAAAGACCAACGGGAGCAACATAGATCCCATGTCTGTTTTCAAACATAAAATAACAAATTTATCTTCTCAACAGATGACACCCATTGAACCAATAGGGCTCACGCTCGCCCTAGAGGGTTCAGCCCAGCCGCGCCAGGCCAGACAGCCTCCCAAGACAGTTCTTGCAGCGAACCTCCTACTGTGTGTGTGTGTGTCTGTGTGGCGTTTGTGTGTGTGTGATATGTGACTGTGGGGTGTGTGGTGTGGTTGTGTGATGTGTGTGGCAGGGGTGATTGTGTGTGGTGTGTGTGTGATGGAGTGTGAGGTGTGATTGTGCGTTTATAGGGTGTGTGTGGTGTGGTTACGTGTTGTGTGGTGGTGTGATTGTGGTGTGGTTGTGTGTGTGATGGGGTATGTGTGGCGTGGTTGTGTTTGTGTGATAGGGTGTGTGGTGTGATTGTGATGGGGTGTGTGGTGTGTGATGCCTGTATGGTATGTGACAGGGTGTGTGGTTTGGCTGTGTTGTGTGGTGTATGATGGAGTGCGTGGTGTGGTTGTGTGTGGAATGTGTGGTGTGTGATGGGGTATGTGTGGCGTGGTTGTGTTTGTGTGATAGGGTGTGTGGTG